AGACGCCTTTGCGGAAAGAAAGCCCCTTCCCCCAATTCAATGTGGCTTCCCATAAACGCCCAGGGATCAGGCTTTCTTTTGAATACACAACAACATTGCTTTCAGGGGAAGGGGGAAAGGGAAGAACCGGCACAGCTACGATGTTGAGAAAAATGCTGTTCAAGTATACAATTTTCTCAACAGTTTTGTCCAAGATTGTTCATCCATGCATCTTCCTTTGTTCATAACAAAAAAAGGAAGAAAAATTACGAAGGTGGACACGAGAATTCAATAAGGTATGAAATAACCTTCCTTTAGTTTAAATGGGAGCCTTGAATATTCGGAAACCACCTTAAAAATCGGGAAAATGTGGAGATGTTTTGAAAATCCTTTTGAAAACGATACTGTTATTGCAGGGACGCTTCGTTCGTGCGTCTTCTTTTGTTCATAGAAAAAAGTAGAAGACAAATTACAAGGGTAGAAACGAGAATTGAATAAAGTATGAAATAATCTACCTTTAGTTTAAATGAGAACCTTAAACATTCAGAATCCACCTTAATAATCACCAAAATGTGAAGATGTTTTGAAAATCCCTTTGAAAACGATACTAGTTTAGATCCCAGACCTCTCCCGTCTCTGCACATGAGCAGACGTTGTTCAGCTCTGTCACTGGGACGATCATGTAAACTCGGTTCCAGACCTCGCTGCCAGCCCCCCCTGCTCCCCACCATCTCAGTTTTTGTTTCTGCTGCGTTAGCAAGTCTCGGAAATAATATAATAATGGAAAGTTTATTTGTGTTTTTGAATGTACAATTGTAAATCTCGCTACGTATAGGCAATTTACAAATGCTGCTTGAGATTGGATCATTAAAAAGAAAAACAAAAAACCAAAAAACGAAACAAAAGCAAAAAAAAATCCAAATTGCATTAAGTCTGGGCTATCCCAGCTCCTATTTCTACAACAAAAGATGTAATATGTTGCTCTAATGGCTATATTTATCATTTTCTTGATTATATAACGTTGTTGCTTTTTGTCAATGCCAATGTCATTCATCATGTCTAAGAAAGCGGAGCATAATAATAATAATAATAATGATAATAATAATAATAGTAATAATAATAGTAATGATGATGATGATAACAATATTATTGTTATTATTATTATTATTATTATTATTATTATTGATACTAAAAGCATTGTCATTGACGTGCTCAAAGTGATAGCGTTTATTTATATTGACACTACTCAGACGAGGAAATTCCTTCAAAAAAAATAACAAAGTTCAATACCCTTAATAAGCGCTTAAGCTATGACCATCAGTTTTCGCAAATTTCCTAAAATTCATCGGAGAGAAATTTTAAAGTTGTCGTGACGTGTAAATTGATATTTAGTCAGTGACTGTTTATTGAGTCTTTGGGTCTTTTTTCATTTATTACATAATCAAAATGATGAAGGAAAATAGAAAAAAAAAAAAAAGATCAAGCAAGAACAGAGATAACCGCCCACAAAAAAATAAAGCTTCATTTTCATGTTCTTTATTCCATCCACTTAAAACACATTCACGCATGAGCATTTGAACTACTACTTAGTTTTATTTTAAATTATTTTTCTTTTATCTCCACTTTTGGGAGGCTTTGGACTATTTATTGACTTGTTTATGTTTAATTTATCTCAATTTTCTTACAAACAATTACGTTTACACAAATCGTTTTGCTGGTTTAGATCATTAATTAGGTGGTTCAGTGTTGGGCGAGTTTCGTTTTTGTCGAAAAGGTGAAGGTTCCGTTTGCTGTCCGTCCTAGACTCTTGTCGACTTATCCTTCAAAAGATTATAAATAAAGAATCAATACAGCGATACCAGCTACAGTGGAACCACGATATAACGAAGAGCCAGGGGACTGGCAAAAGTTGTTCGCTACAACGAGGTTTACACTGGTAAAACTGGACTTTTTACAGAGATAGTAAAATGTTCATAAATTGAAAATTTATAGACCATTTTTTATGAGAGTACAAATCTTGCCCTCTTTTAATTTCGTCATATCTAGGTTCTTTTCCATATATTTCACTATTACTGGGGTAAAGAAAAGTGTTGCTTATTCCAAGTGCTTGTAGCATACTGTAGGAGGGAGGTGCATAGCCGCCTGCTTACAGACGGACCTTTCATAGATTGTGCTAGTAAAAGTAGTATATTATGCCTGTAGCACTGCTCTTTTTTTTGGCCAAATTATGTCAAAATTATGCTCGTTTTCCCAAATTATGCAACTTTTGAAAATGAAGAAATGATCGTTGCAGTGAACGCAATTTATGCAGTTGCGTGAAGAAGGTTGAAAAAACAATTCAGTCCTGAATTTTTTTCAGGCTTCTTTATGCAATTGCATAAATTGCGTTCACTGCGACGATCATTTCTTCATTTTCATTTCATTTCCGCAGTTCATATTTGATTTATTTCATATATTATTAACATATGCAACTTTTGTTGTGTGCAAGCCGAATATTCTTGTTAGCTATAATATATAACGGTCTCTGGCAATTGTGGCTTGTTCTGGCCTGTCATTTCTCTGAGACAGCTGTACGTTTTCGCTCGAATCGGCTGGCATAGCTGATGCCATTTTGTAGCCTTGCCTATGAGAGGTATTGGGACCGACATGGTTTCCCATGGGACTTGCGGTTCCCGTACACCGTAGTCCCAGGCCCCCATTTCCGGCCTCAGAAAACTGCAAATACCGCTAAAACATCGAAAAACGTCAGAGTATAATTAGGAGTGATGAATGGTCCATGAAAATTTTTAACTGCTCGCAAAATTTTACCTTTGCTCGATTTGCTCGCAAAATTTAAACGAGTGCTCGCTTGCTCTTGCTCCCCAAATTTTTGCAGTTGCTCGCATGCTCGCTTTCTTTTCAGTATTGCTCGAAATTTTGTAAATCCCTCTCATGGGTTAAAGTAAATGTAATTCTGTATGGTGCTTTATTCCTATAAATATGGCTATCAAGTTCGATGGAAATGCACGCGATAAATGACAACGATAAATAATAAATTAGCTGATCTAGCTATTTATGGTTACAAGAAGAGAAGGTATTGCTACCTTGAGTTCTTCTGAGTTTCTCTACCGCTGTACTCACTGGGCTTTAATTAGGCCGTGTTTTCGATAAACACGGTTTGGAAGCTTTAGGATTCTTCCAGGAGAGGCTGTTCTAACACGAGGATCTTGTTCCTATATAAGAAGTGCTCGCTGCTCGCCAGTTGTACTCTCCAAACTTCTCGCTGCTCGCAAAGCAAATTTTTTATCTCTGCTCGTGCTCGCAAAAACATCGCAGTGCTCGAATGCTCGCAAAGACCATTCGTCACCCCTATAATTGGGATTTGGGAATCAACGTGCCTGTGGAAACCCAAAAATGGTGCGATCATTATCAAAATAAGCGAATTATGCTAGCAGTGCTACGTTTAAAAAATGGGGAAAATTATGCTCGTTTTCTCAAATGCTAAAACTCATGTTAGCACAATATATAAAGGTCTATTCCTACATTCTCCTGAGGCTAGATTATTACGTCCCCAATGCAGACTATGAAATGCTATATCCCATGTCCCCATCCTATCTAAGATTTTCCCTGTCGTCGTTCATAATTCTCTTTAAAAAATGCATCACTTCTCCCATCTTTCTCTTATTTGAAAGGTATATTTGTTTCTCCACAGCTCACGTTATCATCGAAAATTGACAAACTTAAAATTACTTTTGTTCAATCAAGAAATGGAAAATTTAAACCTATGTGATTTAAGAAATGGAAAATAAAATCAGCATCAGTTTATTTTCTTTAGTTCTTTCAATTTCATAATGATTTTTCTGAAGCAAGTTGTTACCTGACACAGGACTGATCTATTTACCTGCAGAACAGACGTTGCACGTTTTCTGGCATAATGTTCGAGTTAAACTGTAAATACAGTAGCCGATTTGCTGATAATATGAGCAAGCGGACTCAGTCATGATATCTTCACAGGACGCTTAAAAATAATGATAATAATGATATTACTGTTGTATTGCTCTATCCCAAGAAAAAAAACGCCCTGTCGCCAGGGAGTAATAACAGAAAAAATAGAAACTGGGATCAACTGTCTGCTGATTAAAAGGAAAGAAATTGTATATACACATCTTCATTCCGGCCAAAGAGAAAAATTGGAAATTTCAAATAGGTTTAAGATATTGAAATCTTTAAACCGTCGTTAAATCTTCCTCTTAAGTATTTAAAGGCGCAAATAGGACAATTGCACGATGACGTCATTTTACTACAACTACCAGAATCCTTGATTTCGTTGTTTTCTTGTGCAAATTAAGGCTATTGTTCTTTAATCCTCAGCGGGATTGACAAATTTAAATAACTAATCAAACCCGAAATGAATTCTGGTAGTTGTAGTCAATTATCGTCACCGTGCAATTGTTCTATTGCCTGCTACTATGAATAAAAAGGAGATTTGAACTACTTCTGAGATATATGGCTGAAAATTTAAAGGTTACCTAATTTCAATATGCTCCTTCAGTTCCTGCTAACAGAATTTTTCAAGAGCTAACTGTTTCGTGTTTACAGAAAGTTGATCACGTGAACACCTAATGTAAAAGGCTTTTTGTTACCCTCTCTTCGACTTTCTGAATGAAGTCTCCATGTCCAAGTTAAAGTGAATATATTACTTTACACTAAAACGTCACCTCGGGTAGGAATGCGGGTTCATAGTTTGTTTGTTTCGTATTTTAGTTAGAATTGCCTTGGTTAGGGGGAAAAAGATAGAAATAGAGAGAAAAAAAAAAGAAAGAAATAAGAACATAACGCACTAGAAGTTGCATCCCAAACAGATTTTACAGAGAGCTCCTCTGTTATATGCACAAGCACATATTAGCAGTAAGAAAAATTTCCACTAATATTAAAGAATACTTACAGTCGCCACCTTGGCCTCCTAAAAAAAAAAAATATATATATATATATATATATATATATATTTAGTAAATAACAAGTTCATTTAGCGAAGAGTTAAAAAAAGGAAAGAAAAACCCTTGAATATCGGTCTTAAGGCTGGTTTTCACTAGCGACGGAGTCCGAGTCGGAATCGTAAGCAGAGTGTTAGCGGAGTCAAAAATCGGAGTCGTAAGCGGAGTCATTAGCGCGATGGCATCGGAGTCGGAAGAATCAGAACGTTTCCATTTTCTTCCGATTCCGCTTATGACTCCATCACTTACGATCTAGTGAAAACCAGATGGTCGGAGTCAGAAGCAGAAGCAGAAGGGTAAACCAATCACAATACACGTTTCCACGCTTTGTGATTGGTTTAGTCCTTCCGCTTCTGATTGCGATTCCGACAACCTAGTTTTTACTTGATCTTAAGGGACGGAGTCGTAAGCGGAATCAGAACGCTGTTTTCACTAGATCGTAAAGTCTTGCGCTTCTGGTTAAGACTCCGACTCCTACTCCGTCGCAAGTGAACTGAACCAGCCTTTAGTTGGCGCCATGACGATCTGATGGAGAAATAGATAGTTGACTTGTGCCACAATTTTACCACCTGTTCTTGCCAGTGTTAGTACTAACTAGTCCAGTTTAAACATTGATGGCTACTGTGCTTATTTAAGAGCACTTATTAGGTTTATTGCATTTCAATATAATAATATAATGCCAGAAAAGTTGCAATGTTAAACCGGCACTTTAATGATACTCTCTCCAGAACTCAGAAAAAAAGGAATCCATTCCTCTTCACAACACTAGAACAACAAGCTAAAAGGTAAGAAGGAAAGAGGTCCGGTCCAGCTAAGGAGATTACCCTCCCAATCACACCAACAACTTCGCAACCCGAGCCTATTCAATTTGCTCATAGCAAAGGAACTGACGGTGCGCCCTTGTACAGGAAAAGGAAAGAAAGGCGGGAAATAACTACCGTATTTACTCGAATAAGCGATGCGGCGCTTAGTTTAATATTCGTGTCTCTGGTGCGGTGCTTATTAACTTTCCCACTCCATGTGAGGCGCTTATTCGAGTAAATTCGGTAACCTGCTAAGGGTAGGCCTACCTCACATACGTAAACAACAACAACAAAACAAAACAACGAAAAGGAAAACATGTTAAAAAAGGAAGGGTAACACCCGCTAGCCCAACCGGACCAGGAACCCATCCTAAGACGGGTTATAGGGAGTAGTGTTTATTTCCCTTCTGGTCACGGCAGGGGCGGGAAGGGAAAAAAAGCCCAACAAAAAATATAGCAACAAAAGATGTGACATACAACCGAACTCTTTCCAAGGTCGAAAATATACACGACCAGACTCTTTCTAAGACCGAACAGACGACAAAAGGCCTTTACAAGGTCGAATACTCTAATAAAAATCTTCCTCAGGTCGTGCACATTGCCAAAATCTGTCTAAGGTTGGAAACAAGACCAAATCTCTTTCAAATCGAACGTACGGCCAGAATCAGTCTTTCTGTGGCGGTCAACATACAACCCAAACATTTTCGTGTCGAACACACGACATCTATCTTTCTCAGGTGGAGCACACGACAAAAATCTTTCTCAGGTCTAACACACCACCAAAATCATTTTCAGGTCGTGCACGCCACCAAAAAGGTAGACAAAGCAAGCATTACCGGAAAACAGAGGTAATAACTGAATAACATACAAACGCGGAATATAACCTGAGAAGAAAAAGAAACCAATCCGGATGAATGAGCCTAAATCTGCTTGGGGCTGTTGCTTAAGGCCTCGCTTGTTCAAGTACAAGGTTGGCCGAAGCTCCGGGGTTAGTTTCTAGAGGAACGGCCAAGTAAAATTTCTGTGGGTTCGGCGACGCCACAAGAAACTCACTCGAAAAATATAACCCGGCCAAAGAACGACGTTACTCGGCAAAAGATACTGAAATCACAAAAAATCTGCAATGTCCTAGGAGGCCACTAGTATACCAGCATTGCGCGCAGGCAGAATCCTTGGGTATTCTAACAGTGAAAATAGTGCTAATGATAATGATAACGCTAATGATAATGACAATGATAATGATTACGAATTAAAATAGAAGTTATCTAGTGAACTTTGGTAACGTGATAAGGATATCAATTTCCATAAAAAAATACCACATATTCCGCAGGTCACAGGGCAATTGTTTCTCATTGCACTTCCAAGGTTTGCATCTTCACAATAATCGGCGTAATCGTTGCATGAAGGATGGGTGTTGATACATGAAGACGGTTCTGAAAAAAAAAAAATGGCTTCAACATTTGAAATAGTGTTAATGAAAAGACTGAGTATCTTTTAATTTAGCTGTCACAAAGGAAAGCTTTATTTCAGCCTTAAAGTGTACAAAACTGTAAGTCTTCAAAAAAAGCAGCTTTTAAGAAGTTCAGTTTTAGTTCAGTTTATTGTTTTGCCATAATGATGTACAAAAATAAAAATAAAAATTCAAAACATTTAAAAAGCTAATCGCAACATAGTTAATTGCGAATTTTAAAACTAAGAGAGTGAAAGAATTTAGGACCTTTGAAACTGATAGAGAACTTTCTTTCTTTCCTTCTTTAAAGCAACATGCTAGCTATCTTGTGGATAGATAATTGACTGGGGTATTATAGTCAGGTCTCTTAGTGCAAAATATAGGCCGGATCGTTACAGACGTGACAAAAGTGTCAAATTTGGCACAGAGCTTCCTCAGCACCTGCCGATTAATACTGGAGGGGGTGTCCGTTACAAATGGTCCTAATTACAGATAAAAGGGGGGGTTAACTTTCACCTATAATAGCAGATTGGGTGCCCTGTGGTGTGTACTCTTCTTGTTTGATTTGGCTAAAAAAACATTTGTTTCAAATTTTTAAGTATTAATTTGGTAATTTTTAGTTGTTGATACACTATTCAAAATAGTTTTACATGTGCATAACACTGACTAGTGCCCAGTCTCCACACGGTAAATTTGGCCATGTTCACTGTGTGGCTATCAGTGTCACTGCTAAGACTTGCCAGTGATAATATCATTACATATCAATTTAAACAGATCACAAAGCCAGCCTTCAAAGATGTCATACAATAACATAAAAGCCAAATGTATCATATCCTAAACGACAGAATCGTTAAATTTTGACATGCCACATGAACGACCTCATGAACCGTAACTGATAACGCGCCCACTTTGTAATTGTGTAGCTAAGATTAGATTATAATTTGCTTCGTTGGTAACCCTGTCATTAAAACATGTCAACCTCGTCCTCAGGGGGAAAAGGAGGAGAAAGGGTCGCACAGTTGGCTAGTGCGCAGCCTTCGGTGCACGAGGTCCCGAGTTCGATCCCCGGTGTCAACACATCCTTATTTCAGCTTCTCTCCTTTCTGTGTAGCTTTGACTAGCTTTAAATACCGTATAATTTCGAATAAGCGCCCAACCTCGAATTAGCGCCCACCTCGAATAAGCGCCCATCCTAATGGCAGAAAAATTTAATAAGCGCCCAGCCTCGAATAAGCGCCCACCCCCTCCTCCTCCCAATCAAACTCAGATAAGCGCTCACCCCCACCCCGACCACTTGAGTGAATAAATTCTAATAAGAGACTTTCCCGAGGACGGAGTTTTCTTGAGAGTATTTTACAGAAACCTTGTTTTGTTACTCATTCGCGTTTTGTTATTAGCATTTATTGTTTTGTTGCAAAATAAACATACTTCACTTGCTGAAAATGGTGAAAATTTAATAAGCGCCCACTCTCAAGGTCCAAAAATTTAATAAGCGCCCAGGGCGGTTAATCGAATAAATACGGTACCCTTAAAACGGAGCGTTAATGGAGGGAGGGGGGTAAAAGGAGCGCACCGTCCACCTGGTTTATCAGTTATTATTACCTTCATGAGTTATTGACGTAAAATATGGTCGCTTTATCTTTTTCTACCTTTTTATTAAGCCCTGGGGACGAGGATGTAAAACATGCCTCTCCAGGAATTTTTAAAACTCTTTATTTTTTACACATTTACATTTAAAAAGAAGTGTATGAGGTCCCTGCTTGCCTAGACACCTGTAAGGAGCTCATTCACTTCAGAGCCCTCGCACCAGAGTGTTAATGGTAGGTTTATACCATCTTCCAAAAAAAGGAAGGTCGTCGTGTTCGTTACAATTTACAAACAAACTAACTTCAGAAGAGCTGAAAGTTACAGGAACAAGGCCTCTTTTAGCCAACCAATGATGCATCATTTATGAAAATGAATGTATTATTTTTTTAATGCAATTAGGGGAATACCCCGTGGTTACGAAATCTTACGATCATGAATTCCTCAAGAGCAATTCAGTTACCACCTTTCCCCAAATAATGCTGGGGAAAATTACAGAAAATACCAAAAAAAGCAAGGGTCAACAATAATTATGGCCTGGTCCCTTATAATAATAGAGTGGTCATGGTAAAAAAACATCAGCCCCAACTTTGACCACTCAAACAGATTTCTGACAGATTACATACCGCAAAACTTTGCATTCACACCAGGAGCCTAGAAATCGACTCCTGGTCACACCTTGTTTTTATTGCTGAATATCATTCTAAACAGCTTTACGAAATATTTTATTAGTAAGGGTGTAGGGTGTTTTGAACATGATTGAAATTTAGGGATGGTGATAAAAATGAAGACAAAAAAAGTCACAAAACGAGACGCATGAAACCACGCAATCTTATATTCGTGTTACACCGATATAATGGCTCCTTTGGCTGCTATGCTGACGTTTTTGACGATAGAAGCAGTATCACAGCTAGTCCCGGGTTAGGTATACCGTTTATTACCAGTTCCACGGTTCCTGAGACTTAGGGCCTGTTAACATAAAGGTGGGGGACCCCAGGTAGGTGAGGTAACCTGCTTAGGTGGGGTAAAAAATAACCCTCCTTCACATGCAATCTTACAACCCCGCCATCCTGGGGTGCACTTCCTCAAGGTTATTGAATGGTCCCTGAGCATGTAAACAAGAAAAATGCTGGCAAACCACGTATACGCTCACTTGCTGCTCTTGCTGGAACCTTCAGTGTTGTGGCTTTCTATTGTTACCTTCAATAATTACGTGAAGTCACCGGGCGCCAAAGTGAATTTTGCGCGAATTTGATGTATCAGGACTCCGACTCCGAATAGCCTGGGTTATCTCACCTTGAAACGTTGACATTGCAAAATTTGACCTCAGCTGAGAGGGTTACCTGGTGAGGCAGACAAGGCTACCCACCTTGAAGGGTCACCCCACCTATTATGTGAACGTGATCAAATTAGAATGAGAGATTAAATGGACAGGCGGGTTACCCCACCTAAGTGGGTTACCATGCCTACCTGGGGTCCCCCTCCTCCATGTAAACAGGCGCTAAAAGTTAACCCGGCCCCATTTCTACAGTTTCATTAGTTAAACCATTCACCATTTTTCATTTTAGTCAATCTTCTACCACCTGAGTCTCACTTTTACGACTTGATAAGCTGTTATTATTTTTGGACATTAGTGCTTCAGTGCCAAATGTAGAGGCTTCATAATAAAATGTGCTGTTTCTTGAAGCTTCGGCTAACTTGTTTCTATTTTTCGTTTATGAGACCAGATTCTTTTTTGTTTGTTTTTGCTTTGTAAAGGTTAGACAAACTGCGGGAATTGTAAATGATATGACTTGTTCCACGATGCTTGCTTCTCTGTCAAAACATGCACGTGCGTCCAGCAGATAAAGAGAGATTGTAAGGCGTCCAGGCCTATGTTAAGCTGAAAAATTAATTAGCCCCTTAAGAAAGAATTACTTTGGGTTCTGTCATTTCGTTATTTGGTGTTCATGAGCAGCTGTCATAAATCCCTGATAATATGTGATACAACAGACTCTTTGACAATTTCTTTTTTCTGAAATTTTGTGTGTGAATCGCTAAGCCATAAGCTTTCTTTAGCTTAAAGTGACATGTAATGACAAATAATACTTGATAAATAAAGCTTAAGCTACACAATAAAGCTTCCTATAATTGAAATACATTCGAAAAGGAGAAGAGAAACCCAGAAGCTGAGTACAAGTTACAAGTATGCAAGTTATGAAGCAAAGACGAGGCCATTTTAGAAATGACTTATGAAAATGTCGGCGGACTTTGGACTTACCTTAAAGGCACAGTAATAATCAACTTAATTATAAAATCAATAAGCTAATAATGGATGGGAATGCCAGATGTTCGAGTGAAATTGTTGTTTTGAGAAGAGCATTCTGAGTGATTTAAGGTATTAAATAACAATTTTCAATCAAAACACAACAGGGACCCCAGCAGGTGAAATTTACAATAATTAAATCCTGTTTAGTACGCTTCAGTGGCATATTTGCTTTGGGCACCCCCTCTAATATTCATGGTACTGCAATAAGCTATCACTGTGCAAAATTTGGTGATTTTGTCAACTCTGTAACGATCCTGACCTTAAGAGACCTGACGATTAGAGCCGTGTCGGAAAACATTAATTTCACTCCATAAAAACCACAAAAATTAATCAATTTAAAATTCTTTTGTACTTGGATTTATTCTATGGTACTGTTCCTGCAAGGTTAAAGACAGGGCTTCTGATATTTCGCGCGGTCGCGGAGCCGCGAAATTCTGGTAAATCCGCAAAATCCCGCGAAATTCACAAAAACGCGAAAAATGCCGCGAAATTTGGTAGAAATCTTATCAAATACATGTCTGTGCAACTTATTTGAAACTTATTTCAGCTATTGGGGCTATTTAATTGCCGTAAACTTGCAAATTTATCTCAGAACTTCGTGACTGAAACGTGCAAACAACGTCCCGAAACTACCACGCGTAGAGTATGTTGCAAAAAACTGGGCAATAGCCATGATGTTAAAGGCTTTGCCATTGGTTCATTTCTGGAGCGTATTGTCGTTGAAAGAGCAAATGATGACCCCTGTTAGAAAAACGTTAGAAACGGTAGTCTGATTAGTGCAAAACCGATCGATTTCTAGCGAAATTTGTCTTGAAAATAACCACAAAGTCGGCTGTTTTTACCGATTGCTTTCGGTGAAGTTTGCCCCGGAAATTCCCGCGACATCGGCCGGTTTTTCCGCTAATTTGTCCCAAGAAATCCCTCGAAATTTGACTTTTTCTTCCGCGACCTATCAGAAGCCCTGTAAAGAATACAACTGATATCCTTTTTCAGTTGTTAGTTGCAGTGTCATGGAATCGACATGGAAGGTTGCCTGGGCCACGTCCACACGAATCTAGCCTCGATCAAGGTAGACGTTCTTAGGGGTTCGACACGCGTTCCTGCCCCACGAACGTCTGCTGAACTGAAAGATAAATTCCTCTCCCATTGTTCGCAAATATCGGCTGGAGATCACGTGCAGATTATCGGAGATCCAATCGGCGCTGTTTAAGTCAGTGTTGACAAGCCAAACACATACGTACAAGCTCTGTAGAGTGTGATACGTGACCAAAGATTTTTGCTCCTGACGAGAACATTGGAGATAAGCGTTGGCTTTTGTATATTTTCCTCTGTAAAGTCTGTAAAGGCTGAGTTAGATGTCATTTTCTCCTAAAGTTGTTCTTTGGGTGATGCAACGGCGGTGTTACCTTGTAAGACTGAACAAAAGGAATATTTTTTTTTCACACTATATTGTTTTGTAGTAAAGGCGACTTCCGTTCAGCAAATTTAACCTCCGAGGTAATTTTCAACGAGATTCTTATAGTAGCCATTAGTGCGAACGCTTGTGAGTTAACTGAGTAGTTTGTTCTAAAACTGTAAGGTCTTCACCTTTCATGGGACCTTTCTGATCTTTTCTGGAGCTATATAAAAGTCAAGGGCGAAATTACTCAAGGTCCAAAGTGCACTTCCCAGATCTGGAAGTCTGCTGTGATTGGTCTAGGTTTTTTCCGCTCAAGTCAGCAGACGTTTGTGGGGCAGGAACGCGTGACGAACCCCTAAGAACGTCTGCGTGGGAGGCTAACACGAATACCAATACTGGCGCTAAAACCGCATACTTTATATTTGCATCAAGAGGAATTTGGTGTGGTGTATCTGGTTTAGATTCGCCCACTCACACGAATACGCTAAGGCGATTTACTTTGCTAATTACTGGCTAGTAGGCATGCGCAAACCGAGCCCGCGATGTGATTTCGCCCCATTTTTGAGTATTGTTGTAGCTATATGGACCACTATCGAGCATAATGGCCAGGCCTGCCTGTACCGTCGGCGCCAGGCACTTGCATTGTTTATCCTGGGCGAACCTAAAATCTTCTTTCAACGAGGTTCAGAACGAAGGCGTTTTACACGACTTCGTCTCGAACTGAAGGATTTCACAATCTGTATGAATTAAGTGTTGAAGTTTGAAATGGCTAACTGGTGTCGTCAAAATAGCAAAATTGATTTTAACGCATGCAATAAGACTGGCAATATGAGCGAGAGCTGTAAACAGAAATATGGTTGTCTACCATTTTGAACTTGAAAGTTTTCATTTAAGACTGGACCCGAGTTCATGACATAGTTGACGTCAAAAAGTTCCGGTTTCAGTCTTCCACACACGAATTCACCAAACCCGTCGAATCCAAAAGAAACCCGTGTGTAAGACAGTTTCAAAAAATACAGTCGAATCTCCCGTAAGCGACCACCCAAAATGTCACCCAAAGTCTTAGTGGTCGCTTAGTGGAGGCGGTCGCTTACAAGCCACAGGGCGCCTCTTCCAAAAAGACGTCCTGGCACATCTGCTTTACGAAAAATAATTATTGCATACAATTTTTGAGTTAAGCCATGCCGTGTATAGGTCCACGCCGTTACTAATAAGTTCTTGGTATATTCTATGAAGCACAGTCCACATAGCGAACTGAGAGATCAGAGAATGCGTCAAGTGGTCGCTTACAAGAGGTTAAAAACATTAAAAAAATCATCAACTTTCAGGCCCAAAAAGTGGTCGCGGTCGAGGTCGCTTACAGGAGGTGGTCGTTTAGTAGAGGTTCCAACTGTAAGGCTTTGACTGGGAAAGTTTTGGTGTTTTGGCTAAGAGATGGCTTACGAGAAGTGGTCGCTCATGGAAGTTCGACTGGATGCGGATTCACTGGTTTCGTGTGGACAGAGGGCTGATTCCTATATAAAAAAGTAGCGGTTTCAAAAGTATCCGGATACGTGTGGACGTGGCCTTTCTATAAGTCAGAATAGTCCAGTTTTGAATTAAAAATTACCGCTGAATATAAACATTAACGACACATTCATACAGGGTTAGCCTCGACGTAAAGTAAATATTCAGAAATTCTGGCAAGTAAGTGTTTGAAAGTTGAATATACACAATAGACAGAGTAATAAACAGGTCTTTTCCTCTTTGGAATTTGTGAATACATTACTTCAGATTAAGACTAAGGCTGTAAAAATGTGTCTTCACTTCTTTAATTCAGCGGTCATAGCGAAGTCAAAAATGGACTTTTGGCCAGTCAGACAGTTCATTTTGAAAATTAAATTTTAGTCTTTTTTCGAAATTTTTACCAAAACACAATCGATAAAGTCGTGCATACCATTTATGTATTAATAATATGCAGATTTAGCCAGGGCTAAAAAGCGAAGCTCTCGTTAACATACCTATAGTTTTGTAAATAAATAAACAAATAAATAAAATCATGTAATGCGAAGCGGCGACGGCAAAGAAAACGGCAAAAAAATATAATAAATAGGGTCTAATACGCAAGAAAAAAAAACAACAACAACAACAATAACCACTGAATAACAACAGCAAAAACTTTGAACGTGCAACTAGCACACTTTTGTGCATTTTGTTGCCTTTGTTTTGCACGACTACAAAGTGAAACTTCCTATAGAGCGTTTTCACTCACGTGGCCAGCATCTATGCAAATTTATTGGAACAAAAGAAAGCGTTTGCATAAGAAAAGAGCTCAACTCCCACAGGATTGGCTTGGGACACCAACATGGCCGCCGTTTCATTGTTTTGGGACACCAATATGGCCGCCGTGACGTCATGTGAAAACACTCTATAGTTACAAGTTTTGTAGACGAAATAATGTCGTATGTGTTCATGTTCGCCTTTTTATTACTGTCGCTCATTTTTACCTTGGTCAGAGCGCCAGGAGCTATGGGTTCCTGTAAGCGCTGCAATTCTTAGTCCGAGGACTAAATTACTCACCACTTGTTGTATTTGGTGCTGCATTTCCTGAAGTTACTGAGACAAAGAAAAAACAAAGAATCAATGGGTCGGTTATTCAAACGAAATCCCACTTAGGCCGCGCGGTTTAAGAAATAATTAGACATGGGTTAATGTAAGAAAATAAGTTCTTTTCCAGTCTACGCTATAACTGCTTTTTGGAAATTGTTAACGATAAATGGTGTTTAGATAAAAGCGTTGGGCAAACTGGCAATGGCTTAGGGCACTGTTTTTGTTACACACGGGCTAGACTCCGTTTAAATAACTGACCCAGTATGTCTATGGGCAGTTAAACTCTGAAACGAGTTTCTTTTAGGAACAACAAGCTCACTCGCTGTGATCTGTTGTCATGTTTAATAAGTTAGCTGTTCACTCAATTTCATATCAAACCAGCCGAACTTACACCATGGCCTGTAACAAGGACGATTCTCCACTAGATCCGGGCAAAGGTTTGAATCGTGTTTGTTCATATACCACATTAAGCCTATTTGTTTGTTTGTTTTTTCATGTTGTTGTTGTTTTTTTTAATCCCTTTACATAAAGTACTCTTTGTATTATAGAGGGGACGCATCGGTTCAATGCCAGCCTAGTGTACGAGACTGTGGAATATGTGTTCCGCAGCCGTGACAACGTGACACATTTTCATTGTGAAAGTTTCAAACAAAATTATGACACTATGATGATGCTGGCGTGAAATCAACCTGTCGTTACTTACCATAAATGAAGTTGATGCCAAGTCTCTCGTCGTCCGTGAGATTCATATTTTGGTTATAGGGCTTGTATGTTGCATGCATAATGGCGTCAGACTTAGCGGAATGCTTTAACCCTAGAAGATGGCCAATCTCATGAAGAGCAACAGAGAAAAGATTTTTCCCAGTTGAAACTCCATCAGTAAAGGTCTCGTCGTCATCAAAGTGCACGTCTCCAAATTCAGGAAAAAATGCATGAGCCAATACTCCATTCACGCCATCGAAACCATGTGAACATGGACTGTGATGACCGGCAAAAAACCTACAGTATGAAAATTTAATCTAGATAAAAGAGACCTTTTTTAATGACGGGCCGATTGCGAGGACGAGATTTTTTTTACAGAGTCGTGCACGTGAACCAGCGTCAATTTTGGCGGGAAAACGTTATAGCCGTCGTCATTCTATCACACAGCGAGAATGTCGTTGTGGCTTTGACAAGTTATGTTATATAAGTTTTACCATTTATCATCATTCTTCTTCAATAAAAAATATTAACTGTGTTTACTTCTCTGGTGAAAAAATGCACAAAGAAGCTTTCTGGTGTGTTTATTTTTTTGAGGATATGGCCACTCCCTCTTTTTTTCTTTTTTTCTTTTTTTCGTTTAGCGTCGAATGCATTTCCAGATATTGGGTCGGTGGGTCGGATCGAAAAGAAAAAAAAGTTAAAATAAAATCACAAGAAGTCTTGGAATAGGAGGCCCTGGTACCCTGGGACGATGTTAAAAGTTAACTTTTACATAATTGGATTAACAAAATGTACAATTTGCTGTAAAAAAATGTTCCTGTTTTTCTCTATGATGTTACTAAGATCCTTTTTTAAGATAGATTAAAATAGTTATTCCAAGTGAAAAATGGTTTAACTATGTCGTTACTATTTTTTTTTTTTGAAAATGCCAAAGATTTGGGTCGGTCGGACGACGCTAAAAGGAGAAAAAAAAGAGGTTTGCCTATGCGGAAAAAAGGAAGTAAAACGTTTCCACGTAGTAATCCTCGTCCTCTGCGAATAAAGAAATAGAAGTTATATAATCTGTGGGTATGCTAAAAAATTATTGAACCAGATAAAGGTCAACTTACGACAATGTGATATCGGAGGAATTACTGAGGGAAGCGTTATCTGTAACATCTTCAAAGGACAAAGGACCGATCTCTTCCCACCGTGTAAAGGCCTCTCTCACAATTTTGCGCTGCTGTGTTGAATTCAGGACTCCATTTGAGGCATAGTTATGGAAGCTGTATGTGAGATTCCTTTTTTTCCATTTGTCCCCAGAAACGGAAAACCGTTTAACTCTTCCTAAAACATCATGTTTGAAAGTCACTGTGTTCCTTAGCCATGGGGCTCCGCCCACGCTCGCGCTTCGCGAGCAAACATAGTCTATATATAATATATATAGACTATGTTTGCACCCATTTAATTGGCGACTATATAGAGGATATTACACGGTGGCGCGAAGATATGAATTTTATTTTCGAGTGGCAAAACAATATTTAACAAACGAGCGTAGCGAGTTAGTAAAATATTGTTTTTGCCACGAGAAAATAAAATTCCTATCTTCATGCCGCCGTGTAATGTTCATTTTATTATATAGACAAAAAGAGGCCAGTAAAATAATAGAGGGAAATGACTGAAATTACGTCATCGATAAACTCACGTGTGAGATGGAAAATAAACCACTCGTGTCCCGGATGTAGTTTTTATGAATTTTACGAGTGGTATATGGCCAGTAAAACAATCGTGTCTATATAATAAAAAATATATATATAATAGCGGAGCTCCACGCGCGCGCGAAACGCGAGCGTGGGCGGAGCCCCAAAGCTAAGGAAATCTACCTATCTCAGAAAATGTTGTAATCACGACCTGTGTATGGCTATGTAGGGCAATGTATATGTAGTATGTAGTGTATGTAGGGCTGTGTGTGGCTGTGTATGGTTATGTAGGTCCATGTAGGGCTATGTAGGGCTATGTATGGTTATGTATGACTATGAATGGCTATGTATGGCTATGTAGAGCTATGTAGGGCTATGTAGAGCTATGTATGGCTATGTTAGGCTATGTAGGGCTATGTATGGTTATGTGTGGCTATGTATGGCTATGTAGGGCTATGTATGGCTGTGTAGGGCTATGTAGGGCTGTGTAGGGCTATGTTTGGCTATGTAGGGCTATGCATGCCTGTGTATGGCAATATAGGGCTATTTAGGGCTATGTAAGGTTATGCAGGTCTATGCAAGGCTATGTATGGCTGTGTATGGCTATGTAGGGCTATGTAGGTCTATGTAGGGCTATGTATGGCTCTCTAGGGCTATGTATGGCTATGTAGGGCTATGTAGGTCTTTGTATGGCTATGTAGGGCTATGTATGACTATGTAGGGCTGTGTATGCCTGTGTATGGCTATGTATGGTTATGTAGGGCTTTGCAGGGCTTTTGAGGTCTATGTATGGCTTTGTTTGGCTGTGTATGGCTATGTAGGGCTTTGTAGGTGTATGTAGGGCTATGTATGGCTGTGTATTGCTATGTATGGCTTTGTAGGGCTATGTTGGTGTATGTATGGCTATGTAGGGCTATGTATGGCTATGTAGGGCTATGTAGGGCTATGTAGGGCTATGCAGGGCTATGCATGGCTATGTATGGCTAGGTAGGGCAATGTATGGCTATGTAGGGCTATGTAAGGCTATGTATGGCTATGTAGGGCTATGTATGGTTATATATGGCTATGAATGGCTATGTATGGCTATGTAGAGCTATGTAGGGCTATGTAGGGCTATGTATGGCTATGTAAGGCTATATATTGCTATGTAGGGCTATGTATAGCTGTGTATGGCTATGTAGGGCTATGTAGGTCTATGTAGGGCTGTATATGGCTGTAAAGGGCTATGTATGGCTATGTAGGGCTATGCAGGTCTATGTATGGCTATGTAGGGGTATTTAGGGCTATGTATGGCTGTGTAGGGCTATGTATGGCTATGTAGGGCTATGTAGGTCTATGTATGGCTATGTAGTGCTATGTAGGGCTGTGTAGGGCTATGTAGGGCTGTGTAGGGCTATGTAGGGCTATAAGAGGCTGTGAAGGGCTATGTATGGCTAGGTAGGGCTATGCAGGTCTATGTATGGCTATGTAGGGGTATGTAGGGCTATGTATGGCTGTGTAGGGCTATGTATGGCTATGTAGGGCTATGTAGGTCTATGTATGGCTTTATAGGGCTATGTAGGGCTGTGTAGGGCTATGTAGGGCTATGTAGGGCTGTGTAGGGCTATGTATGGCTATGTAGGGCTATGTAGGGCTATGTATGGCTATGTAGGGCTATGTAGGGCTATGTAGGGCTATGTAGGGCTAAGTATGGCTATGTAGGGCTATGTAGGTCTATGTAGGGCTGTGTATGGCTATGTATTGCTATGTAGTGCTATGTAGGGCTTTGTATGGCTATGTATTGCTTTGTAGGGCTATGTATGGCCGTGTATGGTTATGTAGGGCTATGTAGGATTATAGCGGAGCTCTGGCGCGCGAAGCGTGCCTGCGGAGCACCATGGGTAAGTAAATCTACCCATCCCAGAAAATTTGGTAATCACGTGACCGTACACCGCGCGCCCGCCCGCAGCCCGTCCGTCCGCACCACAGGGAAACCAATGTTCAATCCCACACTTTCTAGCTAGTTTGGGAGCACAGGAAGACTGATATTGCACACATATTGCACATCAATGTTGTGATCAATTGACAGCTATCAAAACAAGGCCCCGCTGACCAGTATCACATGACCATATCGCGGGCTCAGGTGTCGATCCATCGAGGTCGAGTATTTTTTGAAGTTATCCGCTGACAAGTTACTAGTTTTCAAATGATTGCAGGCTCAAGTTTAATTATTTCAATTCATATGAAATATCTTGTGTTTTATATGTGCCGAACAATTAAAATTTTGATTTCAAACTAACCTCGGAAGCTAAGATTCAGCCAGTTTTAACAGGCAGGGAAGACATGCCAGTTGCTTTTGACTTTTCTCACCAAGGTCACGCGTTGGTCACGCTCTACGTCCAATTTTTTTGCTCTGATTGGTCAAAATTTGACAGGTGAGTTCATGCGGAAAATTTATGCAGGATCTTGAAACTTGTTTACTTTGACAGCTGAAGAAGACAGAGTGTTGTGTCAACTTGTGATGTTTTTAACTGTCTTTTTCCACTGAACAATGTACAAAATTAAATTCAGCTGCTATCAACAGTCTTCTGCTATTCATGGCTAGTTTGTTTATCGGGTTTTTGATTGAGAAATACGTCGCTTGTCAAAGTCGGAAATCCGATTTCGGATGGCATCGTTTTCGTTTTTCACCTTGGTTGATGCGTAAGAGGGTTGGCAAGTCTGAAGCGATTTTGGCCTTACTTGATAGTTTTCAGTGCATCTCCAATGGTAAGCCTGAGTAATTACTTTATTTGATGTTTGTTTTTTATATCTAATTCAATGAAGTCGAGTGTAGTTTATGGGGCTATTTAGTTTATGCACGTTTGTAAGATTTGAGACAATGATCTGATCGAGTGTCAGGTTTGATTATAAGCTTATAGAACTTTAAAAAGCCTTCAGACATTTTCTCACCGCAAATAGAAAGAAAACGTTCCAAGGAATATTTAGTTATAATTTTGGGTGTAAAAGAAAGCTTTGAGCGATTTTCTTGCCTGGAGTTCATCTTTGAAAAACGCAAACATCGGGAAGCCGGCTTAAAACATAAACAAGGATTTTCAGAGACACTTTAATACTTGTCTTCGTGAATGAAAATTGTTGTCTCTGTATATGTTTCACCGACTTATTTTCCTTTTATTGATTGTTAGTAGTCTCTTTTGCAATTTTCATCGCTGTTGTGCCGTTTGTTCTCAGTCGCTCATGAACACAGCTTGCAGGAGTAGTCAAAATGCCGCGCGTATCAAACGCTTTTGAAGATTACACATCGTTATAAAGCCATTATGTTGAAGCGTATAACTGTGTTAATCTTAATTTAAACAGTCAACTTTAGCGCTTGTCAAAAGTGAGAACCGGCGCGCCGTATAGGTGATTTTGGAAATTTTTTTAACCGTTTCGTTAACGCGTGTTTCGATCGTCCTGAATATTGAATGAGTGCAATTTGTATTGCAAAATTGTGAAATACTGCATTCTGTCCGAGGTCTGTATGATAAAAATAGCGCCTCATGGTACTATTTCACCTCAGATGTGATGTATAAAAAATATAAAAGGTTGGTTTACACGTCCCCAGACTTGTTGGCAAGATTTTGTAAAGTAAACTTATCGAACGCAAAAAATTCGACCTGATTTGTTTTCCTAATGTATCAAGAACCATTATGGCTATGCTATTTTTTAGGTGTACATATAAGGTTATCAAGTCGATGTAAGATTAATTTCACTCTTAGCTTGGACTGTTTGCAAATTATTTTTCTCTAAAATTACTTAGCCTTTCCGTCAAAAGTCACATGAATGTGCTCTAAAGTTAACTGATTTGTGGATATACAAGTTTACAATTGTTTGATTTAAATCATAAATTCGAGTTAGAAGGAGCTTAGCTTTTAGCCCTGGCTAAATCTATATATTGTAGGATTATGCACACTGCTTCTAGTAACTAACGGGGAACCATTATATGATGCTTACACCACGTACCTACCATCAAGGTCGAGTATTTTTTGAAGTTATCCGCTGACAATTTACTCGTTTTCAAATAATCGCAGGCTCACGTTTACTTTTGTTTTAAATTCACAACAAACATCTTGTCTTTATGTCATTAGGGACCTTAAGCATCCGCGACGAAATGGGACGACGACGCCGACCGGAAGAGAAATTTTCCCGCGCGAACCTTCTGGGCATGCGTTAGGTTGTCAAAACGTCGTCCAGCCTTCGTCGACGACTGAATCTGAGCAAATTTTCGCTCTGGTGAAAACGTAAGTAAACAACTAAACTTTTTCATGCTGATAATCATCTGTTTCCACCTTTTGTTATAATGATTGTTTGATGTATTATTTGCGGACCAGCGGAAGTCAAATGTTTAACAGTTTAGCTATTTTTAACAGACTAAAATGACTTTCTTTCAGAAGCATCCAAAGCCATGGCCGGCCACATTTCTACAGCCGAGCAAGAACTCGTTCAAAAGGAATGTAAGTTTTTCTGTACTGATCTCTTTAAGGAGAATTTTGGGATATTTGAAGTCATGTTCTTCTTATTTTAGACCTGCATGTCATTGTGCTAATTTTAAGTTGCACCTCAAGATATAAATCTTTAGTTTTGCTTTAAAAATATATATTTTCGTGTTCTTTTGACAGCGAGTAAGTCCAGGTATTTTGTTTGGACGGAAGACCATGATGTCTTGATCCTTCGCGAAGCTGTAACGAGCGAACCTTACAATTTTAAACCGAAAAGCACCGAGAGAGGGAAAGTATGGGAAAGCTTCGCAGCCTATTTGAATTCTCTGAAGACTCCAGAATTCAGGGTTACAGCAAGGGCAGTGAGAGATCGATATGCACTCCTGATCTCCCTGTAATTAGCTCATAGTATTTCTTACATTTAGTGAGTCCACTCTAGAAATTGACCCAATTTCGAGCATCATCAAGGCAAAATCTCTAAAAGAAGCATGGGTATCTTCATTCAGTCATGTTAGATTGGGGTAGCTTTCACCCAGGGTTGACTCTGTAAAAATTCATTAAGTCACCACGGTAAACATCCCGGGTTAGTGCCAGCCCAACCTCCAACAAACAGGCCCTTGGGCTCCTATATTTGTAAAATGTTTGATAAAGGAATTCCAAAAAAATAGCCTGACTCTGCAATGTTGTGCTTAATTTTTTTTGATAAATCTCTTTTATTTCTATTTATAAAATTAATTTAAGTTAATTAACCACAGTTTTCTGAAAAATGGAAAATAAAGTTGGGAAATAAATCAATAGTTACAATAACATTTCTTGAAAATTAGAAAACTTTTAGAAATAAAATTGTGCTTAATTTTATTATTATTCATTTTCTCTTTAAAAAAGTTCAATGGTGTGCGAAATAGTCTTTAACTTATCAGCATACAAATATCTACCATGGTTAACTGCAGTTATAAGGTTTTGATACATATTTTATCAAAGGCATTGTAAACTGGGCAATAGTGTGGTTTCCTAGCCAAAGTATGTGTCAAGAGTAGGTGGCCTAAGGTCAAAAAATTCTGAGGTCATGTTACCACACAAGCATGTCATTGCATTATGCAGTATGACAGAAACAACATAGATCTTTCAAACACTGTTGAGGAAAAGCTTCAGATCTTTTTTAAAGTCATTAAACTTAAACGAGTTGATTACATCTCCGAACAGCCATTCAACAGAACTTCTAACAGCACTCATCTCTGTATTGTACTGCTGCATTTGTGATGTCAATACACCATATCTAAAGGGTCCTTGCATCTGCACTCTAAGGGGGTAGGCAGGGTCACCATAAACACAGACTGCCTGGCCAGCTGGATTGTAGGCAAACTGATGAAGGTCGTGTAGTGGCTGTGAATCAGCAAGCATTCCTGCATCATGTTTTCTTCCTTCTAAAAATAGGTAGGTGATGGTAGGTATCAGTGTAAGAGTAAAGGTTGCTGACAATTGGGTTACATAAGCTGTTGATTATATGAGTACTTCAGAAACTTTTTCCTAATTTCATCTTGAGTTTATATTTATTTCAAGGGGGGGGAGGGGGGACAGTCCCCTCTTCCCTCTGGCTTTGCTCCCAATAAACTGTTGAAGTGATCTCACCTAGGTAATCATTATTGAATAAGAAAATCAATAAATTTAGCCTGTCCTATAGCCTTGAAAAATGTTTCATTTTTTTTTCAATATTTTCCCTTTTTTAAAATAAGTGCAAGGCCTACAAAAATAAACATTTGGTCGCATCCCTGCTTTAAAGCTGGTGGCCTGTACTGTTTTGTAACTTACCAACTGGGCCATATAGATTCCCGATCAAGCCATTTGGCAAAGCAATGCTTTGAAATTTCAGGGCATGAACCCTTTTATGCCCATTGTAAAGAAGTCGCTGATGTTCTCCAGGTCTTGATATAGGCCTAACGGTACCGTCAATAAACCCAAAACAATTGGGCAGTGGGGCTCCCCTGGCTGTCACAGCATCAACATAAGTCTGCAGGTTGACAGGACTAAGGACCTCATGATTCCAGTTTAGTACTCTGTTCCCGTGAACATTATACACGAAGTCAATCATTTGATTGGTGATCATGCTAAGAACTGGAACAGGTTTAGCGAATCTATGGACCATGTCTCCATATCTGCATGGGTAAGAAAGCCGCTTTTAGCAGCATGCAGAGACCTTCTAGTCCATCACAAACAGAGCGCTGACTGCAGGTAATCGTGTCAGGGATTAGCAAAACTTCCTTCAGAATTCGTATATCTCGTTTTCCAAAGCGAAACTCTGCAAAACTCTCAGACTCATCAAGCTCTTCCAGGTCAAAAGGTGCGTACGAATCGTACGGAAAGTCGAGGTTTTTCGATGCATAGAGGTCGTACAGAACAACAAATTCATCATCATTGATAAAGCCATCGTTGTGATTAATTAGAAGCAGATTTCGGACGTTTTTGAAAGCCATAGCTAGAGCTACTTGTCAGACAACCAAAAATCGTCGTCTCCTAAAAACAACACACTGCTTAACTTTCGTTTTTCCCGCTGAGAACGAAAGCCTCGACCCAATCCTCCTTGGGTCACAAACGTCGTCGTCGTGTATTTCGTTGTCGATGCTTAAGGTCCCTAATATCGCCCCGCACTATTACGATTTTGATCTTAAACTGACCTAAGACGCAAAAATTCAGCCAGTTTTTTAAAATACAGGCGGGGAAGACCTTTTCCTACCACCGTCACGTGTTGGTCAAGCTCCACGTCCAATTTTTTATGCTCTGGGCCGGGTTGTTCAAAGCAGGGTTAAGTTAAGCCAGGGTTAGTGCGAAATTTGATTTCATACATGAAAGCTTGAGAAGCAAATTCAGTTGTATTCTTTTTGCCTGCAATTGATGATTGGATGCTGTAAAAAGAAGAGAGAAAGTTATCCGGGAAAATGCTTTTGAACAAAAGAAAAAGAAACCTGGTTTAAAATTTAACCCTGGGTTAGCGCCAATCGGCCTTCGAACAACTGGGCCCAGATTGGTTAAAATCTAACAGGTGAGTTCTGCGTAAAACCAAAAACTCATAAGGGGTTGACACGCGTAACTCGCGTCCAATGGTCGTGAATATTCACTTTTACCATATTTGGAAACCTTAGTGACAGATATCCATTTTCAACAAAATGGTTGCCTCGCGGTCACCATGCAGATGTTTTAAGACAAAAGTTCTGCATTTCAAGTTTAAAAATACACCGTTAAAAGACAAAAAATGGAAAGAGAAAGATCCAAAGAATGCTCAGCTTACTTCTTGTGGAGGAAGGGAAGCGTTTTATCAAGAAATCGTCCTTCGAGGAATTCAACCTTTTGTTTTCTTCACGACGGAGCGCATGGTCTGTTTTGAAATGCAACCAAGGCAGTGTAGTTTTTCAGGTACATTTTGCACTCTATGGCCAAGACAATTACGTTTTTGAAAGAGAATTTATGTATTTTTAACTGTTTCATAGACGTTTTATAAAGTCTTCATTTCGGCGCTTAAGAGAAAAATTACAAAATGTGCCCCGATTATCCGCATTTGAGATGGATTTTGTGTTGAATTTTGCCATGTGCTCAGCCGATTTCACTTGCGTGAACGGATCCACGATCCAGATAGTGTTTTACGAATTGATTTAAAGGATTAACTTTTTGGACTTCGAATAAAAATTTTTCAAGAACGGCTTCTCTATCTATTGGTTTGAGTTTGTTCATTCATAAAATTAGCTTAAAACACGATCGTCACTACAACATCCATGCTAAATTTAACTTGAGCTTAAATGCTTCTCACATTCATTACATGCATCACTTTTTGCGAAGATGTCAGGTTCAGGTTTTGGACACTTTTCGATACGCAGCTAATGAATTTTATTCGAAAATATTTTTTACTGTTTATTCTAGACTTTTAATATAAGAATTTTAAAAGCCTATTTGCAGCATAAGTTTATTGTGCAGAGGGTCAACGAGGCATCGTTTTTTGAAGTGACAACTTCAAGTTGTTGCGAGGACGTCAATAGGTTTCATAATGTTACGTTTGGCCAGGGTGGTAAGGCAATAATATCCTGCTCAGTGTTTCGGTAAGATTCCCGGTTTCAACCTTTGAAAGCTTTCTCGGCTTTTATTAGGGAGTTTTTCCCCGTTTGTCGGCCATTTTTTTAAGCGGGCGCGGGAACCTGAAGTAAAATTACGTCACGTTGTTTACGAAGTTTGATTGGTCAGTTATCTCTTCTTCTCGTTCCAAATATGGTACTTTCGAAAATGAATAATCACAAGCATCGGACAAAGCAAACATATGAGAGCTACACGTTTCAACCCCTTATGAGTTTCTGGTAAAATTTATGCAGCATCTTGAAAGTTGTTTACTTTGACAGCTGAAGCTGACAGAGTTTTGAGTCAACTTGTGATGTTTTTAACTGTCTTTTTCCACTGGATATACAAAATGAAATACAGCTGCTATCAAGAGTGTTCTCTTATTCATGGCTGGTTTTTTTTATTGGGTTTTTGGTTGAAAAATGTGTCGCTTGTCAAAGGCGATAATCCGATTTCAGATGGCATCGTTTTTGTTTTTCACCTTGCTGGGTGCGTACGAGAATTATAAAGGCTCAAGCGACCCTTGCCTTACTTGATTGCTTTCAGGAGCTGCATCTCGAAATATGGTAAGCCTGAGTAATTATTGTATTTAAATCTTATTTCATGAAGTCCAGCGGCGCAGTTTATGAAGCTAGTTTATGCACGTTTGTATAAGATTTGACTGAGACACTGATCTGACCTCGTATGAGGTTTGATATAAGGTTAAGCTTACAGAACTTTAAAAAGCCTTTAGTCGATAATATATAGATTTAGCCAGGGCTAAAAGCGAAGCTCCAATTTTAATAAATGTATAATTTAAATCAAACAATTAACTTTCAATCCAAAAATCATTTAACTTAAGGGCACATTCATGTGACTTTTGACGGAAAGGCTAAGTTATTTTAGAGTGAAACATCTTACATTGAATTGATAACCTTATATGTACACCCAAAAAATAGCAAACATCTTCGATCACTTTCAAGATCACAGTAGATTAGGCCTCGAAAACAAGTCACGCCGAATTTTTTTGCGTTCGACAGGTTTACTTTACAAATTCTTGCCAACAAATCTGGGGGTGTTTAAACCAACCTTTTATAATTTTTATACATCATATTTGATGTGCAACAGTACTATTTATCATACAGACCTCGGACAGAATACGGTATTTCACAATTTTTCAAGACAAATTGCACTCAGTCAATATTCAGGACGATCAATCGTGGGCTTTAAGCGAAACCGTTCAAAAATTTCCAAAATCACCCATGCGGCCAGCTGGTTCTCGTTTCTATAGTGCGAGCTCTCAGTGTGGTCGAGTGTTTGAATGAACTTTAATAGAGTTACGCTTCAACATAATAGCGAATTTATTATTATTATTTTTTGGTTATTTAATGGTTTCAGTTATAACGATGTGAAATCTTATAAAGCGTTTGATACGCGCGACATTTTTTAGTACTCCTGCAAGCGATGTTCATGAACGATGAAAACAAATGGCACGGACAAGCGATTAAAATTGCAAGAGAGACTACTAACAATCAAAAAAAGAAATATAATTCGGTGAAACATTTACAGAGACAACAATTTTCATTCACGAAGACAAGTATAAAGTGTCTCTAAAAATCCTGAGTCTTTAAGCGTAAATCTTAAGCCGGCTTCCCGGCGCGGTTTCGAAGGTGAACTCCTCGAAGCAAGAAAATCGCTCAAAGTTTTCTTTCTACAGCCAAATTTATAACTAAATATTCTTTGGAACGTTTTCTTTATATTTGTGGTGAGCAAATATATCTGAAGGCTTTTTAAAGTTCTGTAAGCTTATATCAAACCTGATGCCTAGGTCAGATCATTGACTCAAATCCTACAAACGTGCATAAACTGACCGCATAAACTGTCAGCGTGAACCGTGCAAGACTTCATGAAATTAGATATAACAATAACAAATATCAAATACAATAATTACTCAGGCTTACCATTCGAGATTCAGTTCCTGAAAGCTATCAAGGAAGGCCACAGTTGCTTGAGACTTTTAAACCCTCTTACGCATTAAGCAAGGTGAAAAACGAAAACGATGCCATCCAAAAACGAATTACCGAATTTTGACAAGCGACGCATTTCTCAACCAAAAACCCAATAAACAAACCAGCCATGAATAACAGAAGACTCTCGATAGCAACTGTATTTCATCTTGTACATCCAGAGGAAAAAGACAGTTAAAAAAATCACAAGTTGACACAAAATTCTGTCAGCTTCAGCTGTCAAAGTAAACAACTTTCAAGATGCTGCATAATTTGTCCGCATGAACTCACCTGTCAAATTTTGACCAATCAGAGTATAAAAATTGGACGTAGAGCGTGACCATGGTAAGATAAGGTCTTCCTCGCCTGTACTTTTAAAAAACTGGTGGAATTTTCGCTTCCGAGGCCAGCTTGAAATCAAAATCCTCATAATGCGGGGCCATAGTGACATAAACACAACATATTTGATATAAATCCTTGGAAAAAATAAACTTGAGCCTGCGATCATTTGAACTGGTAATTTATCAGCGGATAACTTCAAAAAATATTCGACCTCGATGGGTCCACACTTGAGCCCGCGGTACGGTCAGGTGATACTGGTCAGCGGATGCCCTGTTTTGACACCTGTCAATTGATCACAACATTGATGTGCAATTAGTTTTCTCTTGGGCTCTCAAACTAGCTAAAAGTGTGAGAGTAAACATTGGTTTTCCTGTGATGCGGACGGACGGTCGGCGGTCGGCGGTCGGCGGTCAGCGGTCGGTGTACGGTCATGTGATTACCAAATTTTCTGGGATGGGTAGATTTACTTAGCTATGGGGCTCCGCCCACGCGCACGCTTCGCGCGCGCAAGGAGAGCACCGCTATTAATTCACCGTAAATAGAAAGAAAAAAGTTTCCGAAGGATATTTAGTTATAATTTTGGCTGTAGAAGGAAAGCTTTGAACGATTTTCTTGTCGTGAGTTCATCTTTGAAAACAGCCAACACCGGGAAACCGGCGGCCTAAAACATAAACTTTAAGCTTACTAGTAAAGACTTGAGGATTCTTAGATACACTTAAATACTCATTTGTTTTCTTGAATGAAAATTGTTGTCTCTGTAAATGTTCTATCGAATTATTTTTCTTTATTGATTTTTTGTAGTCTCAAAAGTGTAATTTTCATCGCTTTGCCGTTTGTTTTAAGCCGCTCATAAACATCGCTTGCAGGAGTATTCAAAATGTCAAGCGTATCAAACGCTTTTTAAGACTACACATCGTTATAAAACCGTTAATAAAAAACAGACTCAATAAATTCTTTATCACGTTGAAGCGTAACTCTTTTAAAATTTCTTGGCAAATTTGGCGCTTGTCAAAAGTTAGAACCGGCTGGCCGTATAGGTGATTTTGGAAATTTTTTGAACGGTTTCGCTAATTAAAAGTCCACACGTGCTTCGATGGTCCTGAATATTGAATGAATGCAATTTGTCTTGAAAAATTGTGAAATACTGCATTTTGTACGAGGTATGTATGATAAAAACAGCGCCTCATAATACTCTTTCTCCTCAGATGTGGTGTATAAAAAAAAAGATTGGTTTGCACGCACCCAGATTCATTGGAAAGAATTTGTAAACTTGTCGAACGCAAAAAATTCGGTTTGATTTGTTTTCCAAGAATTTGTTTTCCACGCCTTATCTACTGTGATCAAGAGCCATCATTGCTCTTAAATGTGACCGAAGACTATTTTTTGGGTGTACATATAAGGCTATATCAACTCGATACAAAATTTGTTTCACTCCAAAATCACTTAGCTTTTCCCTCAAAAGTCACATGAATGTGCCCTTAAGTTAACTGATTTGTGGAATACAAAAATAATAAAAATTTTCAAGAACGGCTTCTCTATCTATTGGTTTGAGTTTGTTCGTTCATAAAATTAGCTTAAAACACGATCGTCACTACAACATCCATGCTAAATTTAACTTGAGCTTAAATGCTTCTCACATTCATTACATGCATCACTTTTTGCGAAGATGTCAGGTTCAGGTTTTGGACACTTTTCGATACGCAGCTAATGAATTTTATTCGAAAATATTTTTTACTGTTTATTCTAGACTTTTAATATAAGAATTTTAAAAGCCTATTTGCAGCATAAGTTTATTGTGCAGAGGGTCAACGAGGCATCGTTTTTTGAAGTGACAACTTCAAGTTGTTGCGAGGACGTCAATAGGTTTCATAATGTTACGTTTGGCCAGGGTGGTAAGGCAATAATATCCTGCTCAGTGTTTCGGTAAGATTCCCGGTTTCAACCTTTGAAAGCTTTCTCGGCTTTTATTAGGGAGTTTTTCCCCGGTTTGTCGGCCATTTTTTTAAGCGGGCGCGGGAACCTGAAGTAAAATTACGTCACGTTGTTTACGAAGTTTGATTGGTCAGTTATCTCTTCTTCTCGTTCAAAATATGGTACTTTCGAAAATGAATAATCACAAGCATCGGACAAAGCAAACATATGAGAGCTACACGTTTCAACCCCTTATGAGTTTCTGGTAAAATTTATGCAGCATCTTGAAAGTTGTTTACTTTGACAGCTGAAGCACGTTCGGAAGACGATTTGAGATCTAGAATTTTCGGAACATTTGTTGTAAAATTTTGTAGCTTGCCTGCCTCTCCTAGGATTCTCGAACATCTAAAAAATGGTATAATTGCCAATTTTTAACCCATGTTTTACCCTTAAAAGAGCGCCTAGAATTTTCGGGAGCCTTTTTCCTAGCTGAAATTTTCGAAAAGGTAAGTTTTGATCCCTATAATTCTCGGATCACTAGACTTTCAGCTAGGAAATCCGAACAGATGAAAATTTTTTAGGGGATAAAAATATGCCTATATCTACCGTTTAACTGCTAAAATAATCTAACAATACTATGTTTTAAGTGGTTTTGAACTATATTCCCGTTGGGTGCCCCTGACTCTAACCGGTAGCCGCTTCTCCCGCGTAAGAGGCAATCTAACCGTATTTACGGCTATGTGAACGGCTTATTCACCCGTACCCGCCTAGCTGTACACGGAAACGGTGTATCTTGAGGTCTCTATTCACTAAAAAAGTGAAGGAGTGGACTGTCTTTATAATGCTTCAAGATAATAAAAGAAAAGGCTCAATAGAAAAAATAATTCTATGGCATTCTTAGGCAAAAGCCATAAATATACCACATTCTCTGTCAGTCATGTTTGGCAAAAATAAAAACGGGCAAACAAAGAAACAAACCGGCACAGACCACAAGAGAAGCATATGAAGTGCTAAAAGCCGAGTGATCATCTAAAATTGTCGCCTTTACTGTACTGGTTTCATTTATGTATTTACCAGATTCTGAGTTCTCTTCCTCCTCAAGATCTGGGACACCGCATCTTGGTTTGAACATTTCTTTGATAGTAGCAGCATCCAGATGACCTGTCTCAGGGATTTCAGACTGTTGCTGAAACATCCTCAGAGCATCTTTGAGATTATGATTTCCATCCTTGAGCGGTGACAAGTAATGGTATTGTTTGAGAAATTTCTAGTTAAAAATGATCAAAAATATGTTTTGCGTCACGGTGAATTGAAAATAAAGCAACATCGGCGTCGTGGTGATAACTTACGGAATATAATGTGAAGTCAGGTCCTGGTGAAGTATATGAAATAATTCATTTCATTGTTTTTTACGGAAGATATGTGCATTTTTGGAGGTACGTTTTACCAGATCCTCACTGAGTAAAACTGTACTAGTGTTATAATCCTTGTGCTCCTGTCCTTGTGGTACCTTAATTACCGACCTAAAAATGCTAAAAAGAACGTCTTTAAACTCACATTGTTCCGCAGTTTCGATTTTCACTTTTGTTGCATGCATCTCTTGATGCACGAGCCGGTCTCATGAAAAGATTAGGGCTAGTCCAAACCTGCCTCTAGTAGAGGCTAGGGCCAGACTTTGCCATCCTCCACGACCAGCGGGCATTTGAATTTTTGATGTTCCTTCTTGTTAGTTGTGGATGTTCTTAACTACCTCCTTCCCGCTGAATTGGTGTTTAAAGTCGGCTCACCCTATGGTCTGGCTTATGAATTATGAATAAGCGATCAATGTCCCTTCATAAATACGTTGGGCGTTGCCGGATCCCATTCCAATTAAACAATAAGCAATATTATGTATGGCTATCCCGCTGATTCTTAGGGTGGCCGAAAGGACATTGATACAAATAGGCAATGAGGGTCGGATATTTAAACGAAGTCTTACTTATTAGGCCACGGTGAAATCATTGGACCTCTAGATCTCTTTCTTAATGGGTTAATAAGTGTTTTTGCAGTCTACGATATACGCTTTATCGAAATCGAATTGTTCATGATAAATAGTGTTTCGATAACAGCGTTTGGCAAATTGAACATGGCTTAGAACGTAGTTAATTTTGTTAAACAAGGGCTAAACTACTTTTGAAAAAACTCTGTGGCCCTGGCAACACATTAAAACTGAATGCGTTTCGTTTGTTAGAGAGAGGCACAGTATGTAATATCTAATGTAACCGTATAGTAATCAACCATGTTTAAACGTTCGGGGATGATTCACGACAGTTGTCTTTGAAGCAATTGACCTACCGATAAAATAATAATACTGACAAATGATAATAATAATAATAATAATAATGATAATAATAATAATAATAATGATAATAATAATAATAATAATGATAATAATAATAATAATAATGATAATAATAATAATAGTAATAATAATAATAATAATAATAAATGGCAGCATGAATGTTCAATAAAGCTGATATAACCATAAACTTTGCGAGTAAGGCTAGCTTTGTTTCTTATTTAGTTTTTATAACAATAAGCAACATGAGGTATTGGAGGTTTAAATTTGTTTTCAAGAAATTTGTTTTTTTTTTCTTTTTTTCTTTGAGTTATATTCTTTAAACTTTTCAGCTGATTTTTAGTGGCAAAATTAGTGATTTTTCGTTGCACTTACCAACGCGAAATTCTTTTCGTTTTCATCGCGGGGAGCCCCAGTGGGAGTTTGCAAACACGTCGCCAATAATACTAAACCTAGTAACTGCTTTCTCTCCATTGCAGACGAAAGCTTGTTAAGTCAATTGGCGCTCTGTGATGTTGCTGCAGAGTCCTATTATATACTTATTTTTCTCTGTTAAAGATATTTATCAAAAGAAGCTTGGAAATCGATACCAACTTTGTTTTCCTTTCTCTTTAGGAAACCTCTTAAAAAGAGGATAAATATCAAAATAACCACTTCACCAACTATCGAAGATTGTGCCAAAACTGTCATAAAGCAATAATATTTTTGTCATGCCGGCCATAAAAGCAGCGTCATTTTTCAAAGCAAAATATGTTTTAAATAAAATAAGAAACATATGTGTAGCTCTTATCCATGAAATTGTAACGTTTCTTCAATGCTCGCATCTTAATGTATGAACATAGATATATTTTTCGAATTTAACATAAAAAGAAGAAGAAGAAGAAGAAGAAAAACGTTCTCTTTTGAATATACAGAACAAACTCGCAGGGCATTTTCACTTCCTAAGAAAAATAAAAAAAAGGTTAAAAATGAACATAATTAATTTTTCGAATCATGAAAACAGGTACCCTAGAAAATAATTCAATTAAACTATTTTAAGACACTTACAGTTTAAAAAACTTAAATGAAATTTAATTGTCCGAGTTCTCAGTAATTTAACCTCCGAATTAAAAACAGCCAGACTTTTGACAAGCTCCGAAATTACTTTAAAAGTTTTCAGTGTATAGACCTTAGTATTTATTACAAGTTTTACCTTTTCTCTTCAATTCCGGTAAGGCCGCCACCGATGCAGTATTTTAATTAACAGATACTTAAACTTAAGAGATGGGATATCTTTAATTCTTAACCACTTGATGCCGTTTTTGTTATGTCTTTTTAATTTTGATATTGTAAGAAAAATATTACTTACGAAGTATCCATTATTTTATCATGTAAGAGGGAAAAATGTCCCTTCCCTGTTGAACAAAAGGCTTTTGTTGCCAAAAAAATATATATTAATAATAATTAAAAAAAGAGATGAATATACTGGAAGTTTGAAAAGCTTATTCAATATTTCCTTTGAGTACACGCTGTTTACAGTAAAAGGTTTCGGAAGTACGAAAAATCATGCCATAAGTAAGTTCGAATCTGTTTGAATGTGATCTTGAAGATCACTTGGGGATAAAAATAAATAGGGTGACTTTAAATATCTTCCGCAGCATCAATGTTATTGCAATGTTTTTAAAGCAGTCGTTTTGTTACTAATTTCCTCCCTGTCCATTAAACTCGAGTGTCGGCCTTTTTAAGAAGTACGATCAGTTACTTCCTGTTCAAACCATCTTCGTAATAGATCTAAGTTTTCAAAACAGAGTAATAAACAAGAAGAAAAGTAATTATTTTAGGGGGAAAAAAAAAACAACAAAAAAAACCACACGCACACCTTATTTTCTTCGCATTCCCTTGGACCTCATTGGTGGTCTTGTGGACTTGACCGATGGAGCCTGGTTCGAGAAGTAAATATTATTGTCACGTGATCACTGACCGTTTTGAAAAATGGCGGCTTCCAGTGTAAACATTTACTCTCCGCTTTCAAGGCTTAGAAGAGATAATCAGACGTTACTATCACAGCTGAAACAAGGCCAGAATGACACTTGGGACGTTCTGAAAAGAATGAGGTCGGTAGATGATTCATTTGTCACAAGAACCGACGGTGAATCGAGCTTTACTTATCGCGGGGCTGACAGAACGCCCGCCAGCGTGACTCGAAGAGCTGATCAAGGGTCAACTAAGGCGGGTCAAACGAGCACTCCGAAAAGCTTTCGACAAGCTTTGATGTCCGGTGGAAATGATAGAAGAAACAGGACTTCTGTGGTGCCGGTGTCGATTCTTTCCACTCCAGGAAACCGTAAGAAAGTCAGTATTCAAACAAATGTACACTTACGTACATGTTAGTTCAGCTATAGTTTCTTAGTAGTCTGGGTCAGTTTGCATCCTAGTTTCAGTGTTAGAGAACTGGAAGCTGAAAAATGTCCCGTGATTAATTTTGTTTAAGCGTTTAATTTGTTTTACAGGATATGCAACAACTTTTGCAAATTGTTTAAAACGTCATGAATATTCAATGCAACGCAAAATTCTTACTGTACTCTTTGGTTGGTATGCGGTCACTTCGATCAGATCGTTCCAAGCCAGATCGTTCCACTTAATAGTCATATAGTTCCACAATATTATAGTCAGAACTTTTCACGAGTCTTTAAGCCTCGAGCGAAAACAAGGGCGCACCTAGTGTAAGGGTTAAGCCATAACCCAAAAAAAGCGCCCTTCACATCGAGTTTTACATGGCCTTTTCTTGAAATATCTGGCCCCCAAAAGTGGGTTGTAGGGGCCACTTTGGCCCTCAAGCAGCAATTTCTATTCACGTGGAACGTGTCTACAGTCATTTCGCCTACGAGTCGTTTCACCAACGTCCTGTTCGCTAACTTCTGAAGTCTTTTCGCTTTCGTGTCAGGTCAGTTCCCTAACTGCTTTCGCCCGATTAGTGGCTAAAAGAAGGAGGTACTGTATGTACACGCGCATCACACTTTTTTGTATCATGGATGAGAGAATAAATTTTGACTGTTTTGTAGTAGATTCATCATATAATTTTACATTTGACCCTTTTGGCCTTTAACTCTTGTCTGTCATTTGCAATAGCTAAAAGAATTGAATTTCTGTCACTGAGGCAAAGATGTCTTTCCAGTGAAAAATCCCTACGCTGTAGCCATGAGGAGCAAGGAGAAATGGCTATATTCACAGGCTAACCTGTTACTTTCTATTTCAGACACCTAAGAAAGCCCTCCATGTAAGTTTTGAACTTTCACCCCATCGTGAGCGGAGTGTAGTTGGTAATGATGACAGACGAAGGTCCCTGCTTGGTTATGATTGGATAGCTGGGATGCTGGACAACACATCATATCTTTCGGAGAAACCAGACGACTATTTTGATGATCTAAAGGAGTTTAGGAGAGTTAATAAGGAAGACTGTTGTGGAAAAACGGTTGTAGAGTAAGTGCTCAGTGATCAAGATTGTTTTCATGTAATTTAAATCATTGCATTCTAGGGTATTGTTTGTCATATTGTGGCTGCACATGTTCGAGATGGTGTGTGATGCAACCGTACGTAAAATAATACTTCATTGGCTCGCATACAACAGACATACAGTACCAACAAACATGGAAAAAAAGGGGAGTCTTTAGAGTAAGAAATTAGCTGCTGCATGTGATTTAAATTGCTACTTTTATATCCTTTTATTTTTTGGGTCAGCAGTTATTGGCTTTAGCTGTTGCATTGTCCCTGCCCAAATATTTAAGTTATTATTAGTGTATTGTCACGTTCTTATTATTAGTGTTTGCATATCTTCAGTGCTTTTTTTTTGTATTCTTCTGGGCAATGCTAATAAAATAAAAAATGATAAAATAAAACAAAAAAGAATTGCTTTTTTCAATCATTTTACTCAAGAAACCACATGTACACAACACGAAACTACACGATCTGCTCCCATTAGGCTAATAATTGTTAGCTCAATCAGTAAGAGTGCTGCACTGGTATCGCAGAGGTCAAGGGTTCAAATCCTGTACAAGCCTGAATTTTTGTCAGGCTTTCTTTTGGCAACTGCAAAAGTTGTGTCTATGTACAAGTGTAACTGTGATCTTCTTTCATATAATTCTTTAGTCCGCAGTTCTCTTAATGATTTTCTTATGTTCATAACGTCATCATACATGCACAATGCTGAACAAGAAAGGTAGTACATGTATTCAATAAACTAAAACATGATGCACGAACAAGCCATGCACACATGTATGGGTACATGTACACCTTCAAGTCAGTTTGCATGTACATGTACCCGACTGTTCCTTGTTTTGATGTTATTATTGTTGTTGGTTTGTTTTAGCCTGGGTGCCTAATTCAATTTGGTTCATGTACATTTTGTTTTGTTTTTTTTTTATGTATTTTGGGAAAAAATCAATAGTGAAACTGTCAATGACTACAGTATTCTCCCTAGGATTTTGGAAAGGCCAGGGGGCCTTCTGACTCAGATTTTTGATACTGCTTGAACAGTAAAAAAAAATCAATTTGCTTTGACAAGCTTTTCTTTTTTGTTCCACGTAACTTGGGTTGACTGTCTGAGTTTTCCATTGTGAGTAAGTTGTGATACTGCTTAAAATGTCAGCACTGGGATTTCAGTTCTTACTCCGCATAAGCTCCCTGAAGGGCCCTTATGTTTGTCGGTCAATTTCAAGATGGCTGCTGTTTGGTGAAATGAGTGCATCACAGGTTAAACATATTTATCTAATAGTACATGTAACTCACTTTTACAATCAGTTGATTAGGAGAAAACGCACAAGTAAAAACACCAAGGTCAATGTTTCATCAACGTTATTGATTGATTTTGTCGCTGAAGTACCTAGTTCTAGATGTCAACATAAGCATCCAGTCGGATAAATCTTTGGTTTTAAGCCAGGCAGCAACAATTTTCCAGTGAATTAAGCCAGGCTAGCCTAAAATACCTAGGGAGAATACTGGACTATCTTTTTCAGTTACACCTGTAGTATGCATACATAATAGATTACTCCAAGCCTGTGGAGGTGCATTTCAGGTTCATAGATTCTGTACAGTGCAAGTACTGTACATGTAGTTGCATTCACATTATTTTAAACTCTAGAAGGGCTGCAACTGTTTTTTATATGTCATAAGTGACACTGTACATGTCTTATATATTAAAACTTGCTCATATGACATGTACACTGTAAAGCTATGAAAAAAATATGTATAATTATTTCTTAATGTAAAAAAATATACATTATATACATTGTAACATATGACTTATTTCAATAGTTGAGCATGTCTTGATTTTTATTTTTTTTTCGTCTCCATAGGTTGCCATATTCTCCATTAAAGCTCACTCCTTCAAGAAGTTCCTATAGCCATGCTGAAGATGGGGTAACTTGTAAGCATTCTTATTGTTATAATGATTCAGTGTTGTGCTCTACATACTGTAGCTGAGCCCTCACAGGTTCCTGGTCCCGCCTATTTTTTGCTCCAACTCATAGAAAATCATATTTTTTTATATATAAATAAAAATACTGGGTACCCTGGATTTCACAGAGCACTACATTGTACATTTCTGTAGGCTTTCTTTCATCTTTTGTTAGAGCACAGCCAAGTGTTTTGTTCTGTTTTGATTTGTCTTGTTATTTATTCTCACCTTTATTTGATTGTTATTTATTTTGTTGAAATTTTTGAACCTGTACTAACCTCTACCTACAGTACTTACAGTACTCTACTGTATATTTTGCGAAGCAATTAGGGCACATTTAAGTACTTTAAGTACATGTACTTGTATCTGTGTTGTAGTTATTGTTTTTTTTTTATTTCAGGTAATTTTTTTGTTTTGTTTTGTTTTTGGGTATTTTAATACCCAAAAAGCAGTGGTACACGGAAGATGATTTTTCAAAATCTACTCATTAAAATTTTGTGACATTTGATAGAATTTTTCTTTTATTGCATGTTAAATAATGAGAACTTTAAAATGGAAGTTGAACAGACAAATATTTCATGTCACATTAATTTTAATAATTGCAGTCCAATTATGTTATTGATTATCTAAAAACCTGTCTGTTAAAATTTGGTCAAATACATGTACGTTTCAAATGGTAACGATTTATTATAGTAAGCCGTGTGCAAGTTTATAGGAAAATGTAATGAGCGATTTTATGTAAATTTAGCAAAAGGGAAATTCTAAGGTTGTATTCAATCGTTCATGTGACCATGAAAACAACGAAAATGTGAAATTTTACCTATCAATCAAAATCTTTCATCAGTATATTTTTCACTTGCCAAGTTTCAGCTTGTGAGCTGCAACGATTTCTCTTGCCATGATTAATAGTCCAGTTTCGAATTAAAAATCACCGTTGAATACAAACATTAACGACACATTCATACAGAGTTAGCCTCGACGTAAAGTAAAATATTCAGAAATTCTGGCAAGTAAGTGTTTGAAATTTGAATATACACAATAGACAGAGTAATAAACAGGTCTTTTTCTTGTTGGAATTTGTGAATACATTACTTCAGATGGAGGCTAAAGCTGAAAAAATGCGTCTTCACTCCTTTAATTCAGCGGTCATAGCGAATTCGAAAATGGGCTATTTGGCAAATGACGTACATTGTATACTCACAATTTATTTATACCTAACGTGTGTTCAGCCACCTTAATGTACAATAACATATGTACATGTACATGTATGTTGTAAGGCAACATTGCCTTTCAGGTTAAATTTTTTTGTCATTATAATTCCTTGATTTTTTGCTGTTTGTTTACAGGTGACAATGCATACACTTTAAATGATCGTCTCTTTGCTGTCCCAATCCATGGACCTGAAACATCCTGTTCAGTATGCTACACTAAACGTGAGTTTGAGTATGAAACAGAAGGAAGCTATGTCCGGTGAGTTTTAATGTTCCTTTCTGAACATTTCCTTCTCCTGACTTCTGGTTCTAAATCTACATGTACATGTACATGAAAAGTGTGATAATGTGCATCAATTTTTACTAATGATGAAAAGATTACAGGTAATATTAATATTCACAATAATGTCGCGAATAACCACGAGTTGAAGTACACTTTTGCCATGTTTAGTGTGTACACATGGCAAAAAGACTGCCTCCACAACAATAACAAAACACTGATCACTCTCTATCTGCACTACATCTTCATCTACATGTACACTGTACCTGCATGTCAGAATGAAAGGGTAACATGTAGTTTTAACTTGAACAAAAAAATATAAAAAATTAAGACAGTTTAATTCCTTTTTAAGGGTGAGCGTACCCCGATCATCTCTGCTCTCTCCCTACCGATTCAAGCCTCACAGACGCTCCAGTTTTGATCCCACTGATGCAATGAGTTTGTCGTCACATTGTCTTGCCGGGTGGGAGAGTTCCAAACCCACAGTAGTTCCAATGCCATCATCCCTGGATCTCAGAACATCTCTTCATCAGTCACGCACCACTCTGGTTAGTGCATAATTGTCTTCATGTCCAACTTAATTGTTTGTGGCAAAGGGCATACAGTTTTTACCCCTCCCCCAATTATATAATGAACTGATTATTCCAAAAATGAATCCGTTAGTTTAGCCACAACCAGTATCAAATTCAAATCTGCATTTCTGCAATGCATTATGTGAATTTTTTATGATAACTTCTTTGCTTTTAATCAGGTCGAAAATTCTTTGAATTGATAAAATATTATTGCTTGGAAGACATTTACATCAAATTCAAGAAACCTGACCTGGTGGAATATTTCATAACAGGCTTGTGTGTGAATTCACTGCTCATTAAGTATGTAGGAATGGAAAGATGTATCTGAAATCTAATAAAAACTACCAACGGATTCATTTTTCAAATGATAAATTCATTAATGGAATCTTGGAGGGTGGGGGGGGGGGTAGTATGGAGGGTACACTGAACTGGCTAGACTGTACCTAGTGGATGGGAGTAGCTGCCTTCAACTTGTTTGCTATTTTTACCCTTTAAGTGTCAATATCAACATACAAATTCACATTACAGCTGTACTTTCCCTAAGATTTCAACTTGCCGGGTAGATGCAATTAGAAGGCAGGGAACTGATTCAACTGAAGTGTTAGAAAGTTCTTAATTATTTTGCTTTTTTTCCCCTTTCGTTCTTATGAAAGTAGCCTGGGCTCATGCTTATGGTAACAGGTGGAATCCCGCACCCCTAGGCTTCCCTGAATCAAGACTGAAGTCCAGTTTTCCATTAAAAGATCAAAGAATTTTGCCTTTGCCGATCACTTTAATAATTTCCATAACCTTTTCTGTTGATGATGTACAGTGTATTTATAAATGTTGTTCCAAAGGAGTAAATTGATTTTGATCACTCTTGTGACCACAGACAAAACTCCTTTACACATGATAATTGTTTTCTATCTCTCGAGACAGATAGATACATGTATCTTGCAATTGTGGGCCGGCTTATGCTTTTCCCGGCTAGTGGGAGTCTAACCCCTGGGTTTGCCTAGTCCCTGTACGGTGTTTTCTAAGTCCCTCTCGGTTAATTCACTTCGGACCGCGTGACACGAAACGTTGGGCCGCGCAAAATAATGAGGCCTAGGGAATAGGCAACTTCTGGGGGCTCAACCCTGTTTTAAAACTTTATATCCTGTACGTCCAGTTTGGGCATGCGCATGGTGCTGACAACCACGCCCTGTTAATAAAATTTTATTTCTACACAAGCGTGAGGAAGAGGCCATTCGCAATCAAGAGTTCTTCAAATGATGCACGAATCTTTTTTTCATATTAATCATTTGACAGGATGCATCACGAGCTGGCCGCTACCCTGGTTCTGTTGCTGAAAGCACTGAGGAATTATTAAACCGAAGCCACTCCCTCAGATATGGGCTCCAGGTTCTGGAACAGGAACGTGGAAGAAACAGGCAGCCTGCCCACACTACACCCTACCCCATGCTATGAGAACAGCATCAAAGTAAACATACATACATTTTTTTCCTTTATTTTCGGTCTCCTTACTAGCAATCGTATGTGATCAGGAATTTACTACTGTGCGCACCATGGTTTTAGCCAGAAGGGTGTCCAGCCGTCCTATGGACGCCCATTTTTGGAATAAATACAAGGAAAATTCACTTAATCTCTTTTAATTTTATGGGAAAACATGCCTTCTGGACGGCCAGTTTTCAATGTCTGGCTAAAAGCCTGGTGCGCACTAAAAAGCTACATTGTAAGGCCTGCTTTTTAACTAGCGCAGGAACTAGCGAAATTCAAACACTAGAGTCACACGGTCGACGGAGTCCGACGCATACGATTTAGTGAAAAACAAGTGTCGGTGTCAAAAGCGGAAGCGCTTAAAAAGACAAAAAACAAAACAAAACAAAAAAAACAACAGGTACAGTGCTTTTTCAATATTTATTCTGAGGCGCTGTGATTGGTTTAGTTATAATACTATTAGGGACTTTAAAATCCAAAGACGCCGACGGGAACGAGAACTTCCAAAAAAGCAATAGGTTTTATTAGCAAAACGACAACTTCGCACGTGCATCACACATTTTTGTACATTTCTTTCCCGTTTTTGCGTGGCTACGTCGTGACATGCTTAATTTCGTGTTTTATGGAGAATACAAACAAGCAACGACGAAAATTTATTTCTCTTCCTGTGCTTGGATAATGGTCACTTGAAATTCAGTTTCATGAGGGTTCGCCTACATTTGAGTAAGTAAGTGGGTAGGAATAATCGCTATAAAGACTGAAAGAACACAAATCCACTTTTTAAGCGACGCTCTCGTTGCCGTCGCGTCCTTGGATCTTAAGGTGGCTGAACACAGTTTTGCGGGCGGTCAGCGGTAACTCGCGTGACGGCGCGTGTTTTAAATTAGACAAACAAACATGGTGCCAAAAGAGCAATGGAACACAGAAGACGATTTTTCAAAATCTACTCATTAAGATTTTGTGATATTTGCCAGAATTTTTACTTTAATTGTATTTTAAATAATGAGAACTTTAAAATGAAAGTTGGACGGACGAATTTTTTGACACATTTAATAATTACAATTCAAAATTTTAAATTCTTGATTTTCTAAAAAAAACCCTGTTATAATTTGGTCAAGTAAGTTTCAAATGGTAATGATTAATTCTAGTAAGCCGTGTGCAAGTTTATAGGAAAATGTAATGAGCGAATTTTACGTAAACTGAGTAAAAGTGAAATTTTATGGTTGTATTCAATCGTTCATGTTGCTATGGAAGCTATGGAAACCTCAAATTTTACAGTACATTTTTCACTTGGCAAGTTCCAGCTTGTGAGCTGCAACCTTTCTCTTGCCATGATTTGGCAAATGACATATTCTCACGAACTGTCAAAACTGTGTTCAGCCACCGTAAAGTCCCTAATGGTAGCCTGCGTCGCAGACGTAATTTAACCTCTGTTAGTAACGTCTGCGAAGCAGTGCCAATATCCTTGGTCTGTTCCCCCAACGGACTTAACGGAAGTGCGTTTCCAATTTCTTTTCACCTTGATTGGTAAATCGACAATGGCATTTTTAACGGGCCAGTCATGGGGCGTACCAATCCTGGGACGCAGGTAAGGGCCCAGAACAAGGATTTCGGCGCTGTTTCGCTGACGGACTTAACCAGAGTTTAGTTTCGTCTATGACGCAGGCTTGTCTGTTCTTACGATTTCGTCATCGTAGCTTTCACTAGATTGTATGGACAGAGATACAGGTATACCCGGAGTCTAAACTGTGTTTACAGTATATCTAATCATAGCGCTGCGCTCTGTGCTTTTGATTGACTCCGACTCTGCTTCTAGCGAGAGTCAGCCTTTAGATGTTGTTTCGTTTTACTGTTAACAATATATAAAGTTAAGTTACCCATTTATTAGCGGTTTCACCACTGAATGGATATCTTATTCAGTTCCCAACAGGACCATCATACTTGTAGGCAGGATTTTTTTATTACATTTCTCATCTAGTCTATATCATTACAATCAGATAGATACTACTATCAAAACCCTTTGCTTTGCTGATTTCTTGACCCTGCGAATGTTTCTCGGTGCCCGCCCTTCATTCGTGTTAGTTACATACAGTATTCTACGTAAAATCAGCCCCTCCCTCCCCCCCCCCTCCCCCACTTTTCGCCCACCGCTCCTTACCGCTGGGGACGTGTTGCAAAATGTTTTAGCGCTGGGGAGTTATGATAAACCGCTCCGTATGCATTCATAATGTATTTTGCACACACTTATCATACACCCGCTTTGATAGCACTCGACTGCTGTTTCTGTAAGTGCTCTCATTGTTTTCTTTATACGAAGCAAAATGCATTAATCCAGAGGTCATTCGTACGGTTACACATGTGCAAATGAATAAACTTGATGTAAAAAAAGACGTGCTACTAAACTAGGTAAGATCACATGTACGCGCAATCAGAGCAATTGCGAGCAACAAAAGCACAGTAGGTGTTGTAGAATTGTATTCAGTGTTTTTGAAAATGATAAAAAAATAATAAATTATTTGTCGACGTGCATTTTGTATGATATTCTTGAGATTGCGTACATTTACTTGCCAATATCCTGCAAGCAAATTTAGGGTGAAAAGAACTAACTGACAGGTGGCGGCTAACTTTGCCTTAATTGTCTTTTGAGGAGCAAGGGTGGCTGCAATGGTATCACAACCCGACTCCTAGAAGTGTCGTTTGAGATCGAATCATATCCAGAGGTGCTCTTTTAATTATTTTGAGTTCATTGGTGATAACTCTCCCTAAGTGTGGGAGTCTTCACCAAGTACTCTACTTTTTCCTTCTCCTCAAAAACAGACATTTCCAAGGCGTAATTCGATCCGGAACCCGTTGCCGAAGAACCACACTATGGATATCCTTCCATGAAATCGTCATTTATTTACTTAACAGACCATCAAGAATGTTATAGAATGCCGGGTACTCCGCTCTGAAAACAAACTACGCGTGTTACGCATGAATCGTTTAAAAGAAAGTTTCATTTACTTCCAGTTCATTTACTTCCAGGACGCTGTAAGCATGCTGCTCTTTTATGGCCTTAATGCTTTTGTTAATCTTGTTTCGATGTCCGATTTGCTTAACACCCATATCTCTTAAATCTTCGTCTCTCAGTCCCCTAACTTTATCAAGACTGTCTACATTTGCTGCTTGAAATGTTTCCAGATAACATTCCATGTTTATGAAGTTAAGCCACTCGTCGACAGACTCGAATTGTGGAGCATCAATCTCTTCAGATCTGAAATGAAAATAGCATCAATCAGTAAGTTAACTTCTATACACTAACCTTAGACAGGCTTTTTTATGGAAGGTGGGCAAATCACAAGTCATCAGTCCTTTCCGGAGTTTTCTTTTGGCTTGTTTTTATCGAATCTTTATTTTCGCCTCTTCCCTGTTAGCAGGCTAGCGATATACCTTTATTATTTTAGCAAGTGAAACAGCTATGCTATGCACCTTGGAGTCAAATTTTAGCCTCTCTGGAATCTGGCGTAACGCCCTGGCATACTCTCTTTTAGTCCAACGTTCTATTTGTTCTCATCTTTTTATTACATGTTATAACCGTAAGAAGTTGCCTCCGAAATAGTTCGCGTGTACCCTGGCCCTACTGATTGTTTAAAGAGGCCGTGAGATCTCTGGAGTTTTAGACTGGTTATTAGTTGTTTTTTTTGGTTGTTGTTGTTGTTGTTTTTTTCACGGCGACAAAAGAGTAAAAGTGTGATTTTGCAGACAAGGGAGCTTATTTACTCACGTTTCTAGCGTTGATTGGAGCAAAGGAACAATTTCTAAGACTTCAGGGGAGCGAATTATTTTGTCCAAGCGATTGACGATTTCTTCAAACTTTGGTCTTTTGCTTGGGTCTGACTGCCAGCAATCCATCATTATACCATGAATGATTTCAGGACAATCCTGAAAGGCAGAAAAGGAAACGCCCGTACTGTTCGTTAATTGGAAGCGATGCAAACGTATAACCTGATTGCTAAGGTCATTTCGCAAAGTAATATTAAATCATATCAAATTAAAGCTTTTCATTATTCTTAAACCAATGTGAGGTTCCCAAACGTAATGAAGGGAAATTAGTCGCAAGGACAGATTAATCAAAAAACAGTTAATCTAGCTTTGCAGTTAGCTTAATTAATCTCTAAGTGTTTCTTTTTATTATTTCAGGCTTCCTTTCAGTTTTTGTTACGCAATTTACTGTTGCCCTCTTGCAAATTTTTGACTTAATTTCATAGTGGAAACGCTATCAATAGAATGAAAACGAAAGCACCTACAGTCTGTATGAGTCGAGTGAGCATAACTCAGTAATGGTAACGAATCCTTGTGTGTCATACTTAAAACTATGTTTTCCGATGATCTGACTTCTGGGTGTGTCTTCTTATTTTTGCATATTAATAAATTGTTAGTATTGGTTTTCGAAGTACAATAAAATTACCTTCGGAGCAGGTAACCGGTAGCCAAACTGTACTCGGTCCATCACCTATTCAAAATCAGTTACAATTAGTGGTTATAAACACTTACATATTAACACAATTGTTTTGTAATTTTTATTGCGTACTGAAGCTTTGAATTTTAATAAGAAACAGAGACGTGGCTTGGGAGGAGTTTTTGAATGCCAACTGTCCTGGTTTCTTTATTAATGTTTTCATGCGTATATTTCGCATAACTACCCGGCTGTAGTAGCTATTCTCCCTTATTTCAGGATTCACACGGAGTCTTGAATTATCGAAAACGTCTTAAAATTTGCAAACCAGTTTTCCAGACGGTGGGAAAGTCTGAAAAGACAGATAAAACCTGGAGTCTTTTTGTTTTAAACTAACATTTTGGTTTTGTCTGTTTGGTTGCTCGTTGTTGTTGTTGTTCAGAATATAAACTTAATGATCGAGAAGACTTCGATTTTATAAACTAGCGTCTTACTGTTTAAAGTCTTGAAAGAACACAGATGAGACGTGCAACCACATGTTGACATAACGGTGTTTTGAAACAGGACATGGCCAACCTTAAAAAAAAAACAATCTATCGCTTATTTAAATAAGCATGGGTCTGGGAAAGAAATTATTGTTTTAGAGAAAGTCTGGAAAAGGTCTTGAAGTTGGATTCATTTGGAAGACGAGGCATTATTTTGTAAGACTGTTGACGGATGGCGTTGTGTGAGATGACTTGAGTTCATAAATAGCATTACTGAAAAGGTTGATCCATCAATCGCTTATTTAGATAACCTTGAGGTAAATTCATCAATCGGTTATTTAGATTATAACCTCCAGTCTAGAAAATAATTTAATCGAAAGTCTGGAAAAGGTCTTGAATTTAGATTCATTTGGAAGACGCGGCTTTATTTTGTAATGTTCGGTGACAAATGACGTTACGTACCCCTGATGACGTCATAACCAGCATTACTGATGAGCTTTATCCATTTTGGGTTTTGGCACTTTTTGATGTAATGTGATAATGATTGTTAAAGATAAAATGTTCGATGATTTTTTTTACATACCTCACTGTTGCTCCACCCCCAATATGGTCGATCAGCGAATGACATTATCTCCCAAAGAAGGATGCCATAACTCCAGACATCACTTGCTGAGCTGAACATGCGGTACTGAAGAGCTTCTGGTGAGGTCCATCGAACTGCGATTTTACCCCCCTTTAAAAACAGTTAAACGAGATGCAAGTATTTTCTACATGGGGTCCACTCTTCTCAACTTCGTTAGGTATCTACAAAGCATTCAGGGCAAACATTTCTGTTTTTGTAAGTCATGTGATGTATTGTGATTTATGTTTTCTCGTGGTTATACTCAATTTAAATTTTTGTTGCAAGGAAAGTGCTGTTCTGCCACAGTTGGAAAACTCCATTATGTTGCATATCTCTTTCTTTTTTTTTTATAACATGAAAAGTTTTATAATTGAGATAATTTCCTTCAAGGACAAAAAGCACCTAAAATGAAAGTTTAGAGGTTGATTTAGAATATACAGATATGTCAAGCGACTAACAAGTAGCATGAATGAAGTCAAGTGGTTCGGCAAGACAGACATGTTGGTCCGTCTGCGCGTGTAAAATATGATTACTTTTAACTCAGGAATACTTCTTTGAAAATCAACTTATTCCTTACTTCAGAACTCCAGGAGGAATTGTTACAAGCTTTGGGTGCAGTGATTTCTGGGATTGGTTAGGTGGACAAGTCTTAGGTAGTGATCCATGGTACGCAAGGTAAGTATTAACCAATCATGAGTAACGCTTGTCCACACAAACGATCCTTGAAATCGCTGCGCCGAAAGGTTGTACCCATTCCCCTTATATTTCTGGAGTGGGCAACAGGACACCTTAAATGTACCTGTGTCTCGTAAACCGGACTGTCCTCTGCCAGCTCTCTTGACAGACCAAAATCAGAAACTTTGCACAACATGTTCTCACCAACGAGAATGTTACGAGCAGCCAGATCCTAGAAACCAAGCGAAATAATCCAAGAGGAAATTCGCTGTTTTCAATTTATTGAAAAGATTAAAAATATAGGAGGAATTACTTTGTTAGTGTCAATTTCGTCAAGCATAATTTAATGTTTCATTATCCGAAAGCAAATTGCCGATTTCGATGTCATGGAAATAGTGTAATTATTTGTTCAAAATAAAATTCATCTCTTCCAATCGATACCTTATATTATTATAAGTATCTTACCCGATGAATTAAGTTCATTTCAGAGAGATACACAATGCCACAAGCTACACCTCGAGCCATTCCGACTAACTGAAGGCTTGTGAGCAGACCCTTATGCTCCTGAAACAAGCACACAGAACGTATTAAAAGAATATATTTGCACAGTAGATAAGTCAATAGAGAATGTGAAGAGCCCTTTATCTCATTTTGCGCCTTCAGTCTATAATCCCTAGGACCAGTAATTATCAGGCTACCTTCAAAAACTTATCCAGAGATCCACTTTCCAAGAACTCTGTGAGGATCATCATTGGCCTGCCTACAAAAATATTAATTATTAAATTCATGATCAAGAGGAAAAACTCCTTCATACACATTGCAATGAGTTAATAAACGTCCAAATGGCATTGTGGAAAATTTTCATGATATTCAGCTCGCATTTCTTGGTAAAAATAATTCGCTCGCTTCACTTACTCTTTGTGACAACTCCTACTAACTTGATCACATTTGGATGATTGAACTGGCCCATGATTGACGCTTCGGATAAGAAATCTTTCTGGTTCTTCTCATTCGAGCCGGGCTAAAAGGAACAATTAAAAATAACACATTATAGTTCTGAGATTAGTAGGTAAACCACATAAATGCCAGCAGTCGTCGCATATAGCTAAATTCACGTCCAAGTGTATTACGCCTTGTACTCTCTAGGACACGTGTAAAATGTAACTTATTTGGCCGTCAAGAAAAAAAAATCAATAAAGCTCTAACATAGCAGTCATAGCAGATGAGAGAACTGGCACAAAGACGTGATTTGGTTTTGCGTTCTCCAAGGTTCAGTTTGATTAGGAATGGTGGTGATTGATTAGACGTTGACGAAATCAATAGCGATGGTGATGTTGATGATGATGATGATGATGATGATGATGATGATGATGATGATGATGATGATGATGATGATGATGACGGCGAAGAGGACGACCATTACAAGCGTTAAGGATCTGCAGCCGATTGAACTTACCCTTAACACTTTGACCGCGACGACATCTCTACCATTTCGTGTCTTCAAGGTTCCTTTGTAGACATCAGCGAATTCACCTATAATGATACAAAACAAAGATTAGAAACATTAGGGCTAAATACGATATTCAGCTGTCAGAGTCGTTAGTCGCTCATAAAAGGCAAGTTACCTTGTCCAACAAACCTCTGCAACTTTATGTTAGGTTTTTCGATTTCTGTTGTAAGCGTAGTGAGAAGCTCCATTAGATCACTATAGTTCGTAGGGTCGATGTAACGCTGCTGACCAAGGTCACTCCCTATGAAAGAGAAAACGAACAGAGGTCGTTCTATTTGTCAGCCAAGCGTCTGCATAAGGCCACCATTGAACAACAGCGACGGCCTGCATTTCATTGTCCCAAGCCATACAATTTGCCCAAAATAGCCCCTACATAATGGCCAACTGGCCCTGATAAAAATGTTTTCCCTCTAAACCTTGATTCCTGCCCAATGACTGTAAAGGCAGTGACTGATGTTGAAAATACTTTTCTAACCCCCNATGTAACGCTGCTGACCAAGGTCACTCCCTATGAAAGAGAAAACGAACAGAGGTCGTTCTATTTGTCAGCCAAGCGTCTGCATAAGGCCACCATTGAACAACAGCGACGGCCTGCATTTCATTGTCCCAAGCCATACAATTTGCCCAAAATAGCCCCTACATAATGGCCAACTGGCCCTGATAAAAATGTTTTCCCTCTAAACCTTGATTCCTGCCCAATGACTGTAAAGGCTGTGACTGATGTTGAAAATACTTTTCTAACCCCCTTGCCTCTCATTTTGTATTGTATCTAGTTGTCGTTTTGATTTTTTTTCTGTTGATTTTGATGACTTCTATTCCCACTTTCGCACTGCGCGGTTTTAGAGAAAACCAATATGGCGGCCATGTGAGCACTTGCAACGTTTCAGCAAGTAACCAACCTTACCTTACATTAGCGTTGATTTAAACAAATAAAATAGAGTATAGAGTAGGAGTAGGAGTATAGGGTATAGAGTAGAACCACACTAACTCGAACTCTGAAGGGAAACGAAAAACAGTTGGAGTTAGTGGGGACTTTGAGTTATCAGGGTAAATTTCAGTGAAATTTTGATCAAGGGAAAGGAAATTTAGTTTGAGTTAGCAGGGTATTCGAGTTATCCGCGTTCTACTGTACTTTTAAGACGCATATCCCCTATGGATACGAGCCTTTGAGCTGATTGGAACACTTAAATAAAGTTGTCATGGGACGATTGCTATTGTCGCCTTGGTCTTCCCCCAGTACTGATTAAGTTGTTTAATAAGGAGACAGCCTCACCGTGCTCAGTGCCTCTTATATAATCCCTCTGTAAACTTTTCCTAAGATAAGGAATAGACAAATTGTAAGGTACTCAAGGATACACAAGCATGTCTATTTTGACCACACTTATGTATTCACTTTACCAGATTGTCTGTCGCTAACAGCGACCGCCCCCTATTCTTGTTATTAGAATTATTTTAATTATCAAGAAACTTCTTAGCGTTTATTCATCTATCCAGAGAATTAAGACTCAAATATTTCGCGCCCTCGAAGAATTGTGACAGCTGAAGCTATGAAGATACTAGGGATGAAATTGGTCCTCAGCCTCTAGTGTAAATTAAAATGATTAATAAGTAATCCCTCTGAGCACAACAGCAAAACATATTAATAATAATGATAATAATAATACCGATAGCGATAATAATGATGATGATGATGATGATGATAGTAATAAATTCTTTTACAAGACAATGCTTCAGGAAAAGCACGCAAAGAAGTTACAGCCAAGGGTAAAAAAGGGATAACAAAAAGTTGAAATATACAGCATAAGACTATGTTAAACTTTGTTAAACCCACCTTCGTCGCGAAAGGAAAATGATAATGATAAATACAACAACACAAACGAACAGTAGGCTTCCACCTCCAGCAGTAATGAGAACAACCAATTTATCAAAACCATCACCACCTATAATCAATCAATCAATTAGTGTACCAGTCCATGCATGTTCAATAAATTTCAGTATTCCAAGAGGCGATAATTCGATTATTTAAACGAATATTCTTGTTTAGCTTTGTTTGTTTGTGTTTATTTGTTTGTTTCTTTTTCGGCCGTTCTAGGTTAATATTTTTTGACGGGTTTTAACAAGAAAATAGACTTCAAGAGTGTACTGTTCTTTTTAAATAGATAAAGATAGACTGATAAATTCATCAATTTGAAGATAAAAAGGATCAAAAGTTTCGAGGTTTCTCCAGTTAGGCATCAACAACAAAAAAAAAATGATAATTTGGATTCATCGTGTTGTTGGTACTTGTGACGTCAGACATACAGCTGAAGTGAAGAAGGAATGGTTTGTAAGGTAAATAACCTCTTCGACTGATCCATTCTGTCAGCCGTTTTACCAGTTTCCTTTTCAAAGTTTCAATGTGTCGTGATCATAAATATTNAACAAAAAGTTGAAATATACAGCATAAGACTATGTTAAACTTTGTTAAACCCACCTTCGTCGCGAAAGGAAAATGATAATGATAAATACAACAACACAAACGAACAGTAGGCTTCCACCTCCAGCAGTAATAAGAACAACCAATTTATCAAAACCATCACCACCTATAATCAATCAATCAATTAGTGTATCAGTCGATGCATGTTCAATAAATTTCAGTATTCCAAGAGGCGATAATTCGATTATTTAAACGAATATTCTTGTTTAGCTTTGTTTGTTTGTGTTTATTTGTTTGTTTCTTTTTCGGCCGTTCTAGGTTAATGTTTTTTGACGGGTTTTAACAAAAAAATAGACTTCAAGAGTGTACTGTTCTTTTTAAATAGATAAAGATAGACTGATAAATTCATCAATTTGAAGATAAAAAGGATCAAAAGTTTCAAGGTTTCTCCAGTTAAGCATCAACAACAACAACAAAAATGATAATTTGGATTCATCGTGTTGTTGGTACTTGTGACGTCAGACATACAGCTGAAGTGAAGAAGGAATGGTTTGTAAGGTAAATAACCTCTTCGACTGATCCATTCTGTCAGCCGTTTTAGCAGTTTCCTTTTCAAAGTTTCAATGTGTCGTGATCATAAATATTCATGGTCGCCTTAGTATCGAACTGAGCCTATCACTAGTTTAAACACTTACCGTTTTTTACTGTAAATTTTTTTACCCCGATAGGTCCTCTTCCATAGTTATTCTCGGCAAATACCTGAAAGCGGCGCAAAACTGAGTAGTCAGTTACATTTTTGTTTAAAGTTATTAGGCTGCGACACGCGAATAAATTATATGCTTTTGAAGATGGCGGGTCTAAAATACAAGTCGCTTTTCAACAAGTCAGACTACAGGTCACCATCATACCGATCAATGAACAGCATTAAAAGTGTCTCCTAGCCCTACTATCTTAAAAAAATGGGGAATCTGTGTGGTTTGGTAATTTATCAATGGAGCAGCGACCTGTTCCCTTGACCTGTGGAATGTGACCTGTACTTTAGACCCGGCATTTTGAAGAGTAAGCGGATATATCAATGCAGTATGCTAACCCTTGAACGTACACGTATCTCTGAAAGACCATGCAACTCAGAATATTTAGTCGTTATTGAATGAGGCTGAGCAGATCAAGAAGGGTGTTATCGGCCGAGGTGAATAACAACCTCCGAGATTAGCATAATTCTTCATATCCTATGAAAGCTGAATTCAATAATAGTTTTATTATTCATTCAACATATTTCCAAAACCCTTAAAGAAGAAAATGAGCTATTTAATTTTAATTATGCAAACTTGACAAAAATATACAGTAGATCGAAAATTATTTTTGCTTTACATTGTAGTCAAATAAATAAATAAACAAATAAATAGATGAAATCTCTGTCCGAAAAAAAAATATATCTTTTTTTTTAAAAAGAGGACGTTGAGAGACTCAACGGTGCAGGTGTAAAAATTAAACTGCCTTGTATATCGGGGCATGTGTGTTTGTACGTTTAGGTATCTGAGAATAATGTCCTCCTGCGAGTTTTTTTAAGAAATCCAAGCCCCGCGCTGTTGGAGACCTGTTTAAACATATGAAAACGAAAATAGCCAATCACAGTTGACTCTCTCTTAACGGACACCTCTGTAAAATGGAATCCTAGAGTTGGCCCCCTCCTTTCTTTACTCCCTTTATTTGACCCCCTGAGATGGACACCAAGTGCCGGTTCCCAAGGGAGCTCAAAGGTGTGCGTCTTAGAGAGAGTAGACTGTATCCTTTCCCGTCTTCCAACATTCTCTCTTCCGTCATGGATAAAGGTAGGTGCTGTTTATGAAAGCTGTCAAACGTCAAAACCGATATAAACAACGATGCCACAGTTTGCGCTGGATGCTTCCTGACAGTGCACAGTGCTAACAAAAACATAACAAAGAACTCTAACGGACTTCATAACCATTCGACTATATTAACTATGCTTCTGTCAATTCGGTACTTTGTGCGTTTGTGAATGAGAGCAAAAACAGAAGAACACTAAAAGGCCAATAATGATAATAATTAGCATTCTAAAAAAGTAATTAGCATTAGAGGAAATATGGTGTTTAAAGTATACCTGAAATTCATACGTTTTTCCAGCTTGTAAATCTTTATATTCGTGTTTTGTTTTATTTGTTGAAATACTTCTTCTATCCATATAATTATCTTCTCGTACGTATGTGACTTCATAATTCTTAATAATGCCATTCTTGTGCTGTAGAGTCCAGGAAACTGACACTGTAACTTCGTTTTGTTTAACGAAGAGCTCAGGTCGACCAGGAACTAGATCGTAAATTAAAAATATTGCCAATGAAGTAATAATACTATGTAATAATCAGATTGAAAAAAAAAACGCAAATTAGAAAATTAGCCCAAATATATGTATGTAAAGTACCTTCACAGTGATCTGCTGGACAAACAAATTGTCAAAAAGTCATCAGAGTTTAAAAGAGAATCCTGAAGTTCTCCAGAAACTAGCTTTGCATGGGGTGAAATCAATGGCTTTCATTGCCCTTATAACTGGTAACCTAGTAAAATAGAACTTTGCACAGTACGTATGCAGGAGCTCCGCTCTTAGGCTGATATAAATTTACATGTACAGTGATTTGTAAAACCTAGCAGTTTTCTTTGTTGGAAAGAGGTTCTTAAGGTTGGTGGTGTGGTAGTTGGGTTGTTGTTGTTGTTATTATTTTCTTTGTTTGTTTGGTTGTTTTTTTTTTTACCGACTTACCTGTACCAATAGTTGTCAAAATTATTACAGTGAAGTATCCTTCAATGCCATGTCTCCTCTTGGCCACTTCACTAACCCTGTTCCTTGCGTAAATTTTGAACGTGTAATTAACGAATGGAGAAAGATTCGTCACCAACACTGTGGTTGTATTTAGTCCTTTATTGAAAGGGATGTATTGAACGTCATTTTGACATGGCTCCTCAGCACACGTCGTTTGAGTATCATTATTACATGGTCGAAGGCAACTAACGTCATAAAACACGTGACTTTGATCACCGATTACTTCAGGAGACTTCCAGGTTAACCCGATTACACTTTGGTTGAGAAACGTAGCAGTGACATTTCTTGGAGCTGATGGCAACTCTAAAGCGAATGGAAATATCATCATGATTAGGTAAAGGCGTACACGAGCCAAAGGCCTTTAGAAAGGACCGGAGCTTTTTCCGGTTTCATTGGCATGAAGCATACTTAGGAGTATTGCTACTTCCCCCTCCCCCCTGGAGGGGATGCTAGTCCATCGCAGGGTTACCCC